GCGCAATTCCTTAACTGTAGCCTCTGTTTAACTCAACAGTAAAATGTGTACTTGGTTGTAACAACGATTCTTCGCGGCGGGGATCGTATTCCAGGGACCTGCCCGAAACGCTACGCGTACTAGTGGCTGTACAAGAATGTAACAACTCTTGTATATATCTCAAAAAAAAAAAAAAAAAAAAAATAGTAGCAGTAAATTATTGTAGTAGTAATGACAATAATAGTAGCAGTAAAGTAATGTAGTAGTTATGACAACAATAGTAGCAGTAAAGTATTGTAGCAGTAATGACAATAATAGTAGCAGTAAAGTACTGTAGTAGTAATGACAATAATAGAAGCAGTAAAGTACTGTAGCTGTAATGACAATAATAGTAGCAGTAAAGTATTGTAGTCGTAATGACAATAATAGTAGCAGTAAAGTACTGTAGTAGTAATGACAACAATAGTAGCAGTAAAGTATTGTAGTAGTAATGACAACAATAGTAGCAGTAAAGTATTGTAGTAGTAATGACAACAATAGTAGCAGTAAAGTACTGTAGTCGTAATGACAACAATAGTAGCAGTAAAGTACTGTAGTAGTAATGACAACAATAGTAACAGTAAAGTACTGTAGTAGTAATGACAACAATAGTAGCAGTAAAGTATTGTAGTAGTAATGACAAGAATAGTAGCAGTAAAGTATTGTAGTAGTAATGACAACAATAGTAGCAGTAAAGTACTGTAGTCGTAATGACAACAATAGTAGCAGTAAAGTACTGAAGTAGTAATGACAACAATAGTAGCAGTAAAGTACTGTAGTAGTAATGACAACAATAGTAGTAGCAATAAAGTACTGTAGCAGTAATGACAATAATAGTAGCAGTAAAATATTGTAGTAGTAAAGACAACAATTGTCGTAGTAATGACAACAATAGTAGCAGTAAAGTACTGTAGTAGTAATGACAACAATAGTAGTAGTAAAGTACTCTAGTAGTAATGACAACAGCATTAGTATAAGTAACAGTCTAAGGACAATACAATGAAGACATTTAAGTGAGCTACATTGGAAAATAATTGTTCAGAATTATCCGGCATTAAGCGATGCATTATAAAAGATTGGCGGCAACAAATGACCTAATTTAAAGCAGCAAATCAATGAGATACAAATAATTTAAAACATAACTCACATACTAATTATACCATGAACTTTAACACAAATTTGCACTGCTCAGCCTATCTTAAGTCAAATTCGACCGATATTATGTAATATCTTAAATAAAATTCGACCGATATTATGTAATATTTTAAATAAAATTCGACCGATATTGTGTAATATCTTAAATATAATTCGACCGATATTATGTAATATCTTAAATAAAATTCGACCGATATTATGTAATATTTTAAATAAAATTCGACCGATATCATGTAATATCTTAAATAAAATTCGATCGATATTATGTAATAAATGACGCAAAATTCGACCGATATTAATATTAAGTAATCAGAAATATGTCAATATTGTCATTTTATTCAATTTACAGCTGTTAAAAAGAAACCTAATCGGACTTGATGAGGCTGATGTACTAGGCTGCGGTGGACGGTCATATCCGAAAAAAAAGACACGAATGTTTAGAAAGAAACAGCAAAATATTAGAGAAAAGACGATTATATCCTGTTCATTCCAGCCACAAGTATAATAATTTGTGTAAAGCGCTGACAAATGAATCTTCGAAATTCTAAATTGTTCAGTACATAATTACGATTGCGTGATATGCTATCATCATGATTTTATTTTGTGGGTTGCTAAACATAGCCACAAACACATGGCTGTGTTTGTGAGGGCGGACTGTGTATGTTTGTGGGAAGGAATGTTCTGCATACCTAATGGTATTGTGTGTGTGTGTCAATGTATGTATTAACACGATGAACTGAACGGGGTGAGAATAGCTTGAGCTACCTCATCCCTTTGTGTGTATTTTACCTCAATAAACTTATTTCAATTTCAATTTCAATGGTATTTTCTACTCACATACATAATAACATAGGATTATGTTATGTTAATACGCATCCACACTTGTGTATTTGTGAGAGTTATGTAAAGAAATTAGTGTATTTTCTTTACATAAATCTCCCAAATAAACAAGTGTGTTTTTTATCCTAATTTTCTGCATTACGTTGATTTTTTTTTAAGGATAATTGATATATGAGAATTCAGTGTATTAATAAGTGATGTAATATGCAAATGGAACGGAATGGAACATAACCCCGGGCAAATGGAACGGGCTACGAGAAAGCGTTCAGGCAAATCCATTAACCAGCGTCAATAGGAAATAAGGGTGAGAAGACTGTAAAAAAGAAAAGTTATTGTTCAAAGGGAGCAGATATTGTGTCAGGTCGGTGAAGCTTTTGCACAACACTGTACTGTCATCTAAGCGGGTGTTACTACACACCACAAAAACACCCACCTCAACACCCTACACCCCATCCCCCTCAACCCAGCACACTCCCCACACGCGCCACGAAGGTAATACCGTCTGTAATATATTGGCGGGCTGATAACGTGCCACTAAATTACAGAAATATGTGTCGACTGAAGCCGCCATGATGGATGGTAGACTCGTTTGGCACGCCGCAAGTCTTCTAGCGCGCGAGTCTCTGTTTACCTTCCCGAAAACCACGGCAAAGACGACCTAAAGTTCTTGGGCCGGAGAGGCGATAATTATCGCGTGTGAAGGTGTGCCGGATGCGCCCCGAGAGCTGGTAGCGAGCATGTGACAGTGTGACTCTTGAGCGTCGCGTTAGTGACGTTGGGGGAGGGAAGATGAGGAAGGGAAGGGAAGGGAAGGAGGAGGGACGGGAGGGTGTCACGTGTCTGTCACCTACCGTCACGGCGGTGAAGACTCTCCTGCAGACATACAGGTCTGACACAGAGACAAACTGACACAAATGTTTCTCCATTTGGGGGACTGTCAGCCCCAATGATCTCAGTATGAAGGGAAGATAACAATATATCTTTCAAGATAGGGAGCCGAGCGGACAGCACGCTGGACTTGTGATCCTGTGGTCCCGGGTTCGATCCCGGGCGCCGGCGAGAAACAATGGGCAGAGTTTCTTTCACCCTATGCCCCTGTTACCTAGCAGTAAAATAGGTACCTGGGTGTTAGTCAGCTGTCACGGGCTGCTTCCTGGGGGTGGAGGCCTGGTCGAGGACCGGGCCGCCGGGACACTAAAGCCCCGAAATCAACTCAAGATAACCTCAAGATAACAAGGCTCCATCCATGTGTATATAATTTCCACATACGACCACATCACTATCTATGATGACCACAAAAACCAAAATAATCGACAGATACAATGAACAAAACAAAATAATCGACAGATACAATGAACAAAACAAAATAATCGACAGATACAATGAACAAAACAAAAATAATTGACAGATACAATGAACAAAACCAAAATAATCGACAGATACAATGAACAAACCAAAATAATCGACAGATACAATGAACAAACCAAAATAATCGACAGATACAATGAACAAAACAAAAATAATTGACAGATACAATGAACAAACCAAAATAATTGACAGATACAATGAACAAACCAAAATAATTGACAGATACAATGAACAAACCAAAATAATTGACAGATACAGTGAACAAACCAAAAATAAGATTAGTCATGTACGAAGCACTACACGTCAAACACTCTCACCCAAGTGTTAACAACCACCTTACACTTAAGTCTATCCTACCATCATCTTCAAGACCAGAGTGGAATGTCCAGCTCACTCCTTATTTACTCCCTCATCCTACATGGACTCAGTAACACCTAACTCTTACCTCCTTCCCCTCCACCTCCGATGATGTAGAGAGGTTGAACCAAACGCTCCTTTCATATAAGTCGAATTATAAAATGAACTTTGAAGAGTTAACTTTTCATCTTAGACTTACCTCACCAGGAAGTTATAGAAAAGTGCAAATCTATTGTACGTACATCAAGAGATTCTGGGACGATCCCAGATGTAAATTTCTCCCAAACACCTCATACAACGTAGATCTGACTTCAGTAGGACTGAAAAATACCTGTCAGTAACTTTGTGATAGTTCGTGAAGGAACAACTGTCTCTTTGTGACAGTAGTTCCTTCATAATTCCAAATATCCAACAGGGGAGTCTTCCTGCTGGCCAGTTGTGAGGTTCTATGATGTGTCCCCGTCTCACACCAGATAAAAAAAGGATATCGCTTGTTTGTGATTCATTTCTTCAAGTGAAGGTGTGGATATCAGGCCAGACAGGAGTGGGAGGATAGGACTCCCAAGATACAGCTCGACCTTCTAGTTGACCCTAGCTAAGCCAGCCTGCTAGCAGACACTAGCTAAACCAGCCTGCCAGCAGACACTAGCTAAACCAGCCTGCCAGCCTGCCAGCAGACACTAGCTAAGCCAGCCTGCCAGCCTGCTAGCAGACACTAGCTAAACCAACCTGCCAGCCTGCTAGCAGACACCACCTAAACCAGCCTGCCAGCCTGCTAGCAGACACCACCTAAACCAGCCTGCCAGCCTGCTAGCAGACACTAGCTAAACCAGCCTGCCAACCTGCTAGCAGACACTAGCTAAACCAGCCTGCCAGCCTGCCAGCAGACACCACCTAAACCAGCCTGCCAGCCTGCTAGCAGACACCACCTAAACCAGCCTGCCAGCCTGCTAGCAGACACCACCTAAGCCAGGCTGCCAGCCTGCTAGCAGACACCACCTAAGCCAGGCTGCCAGCAGACACCACCTAAACCAGCCTGCCAGCCTGCTAGCAGACACCACCTAAGCCAGGCTGCCAGCAGACACCACCTAAACCAGCCTGCCAGCAGACACTAGCTAAACCAGCCTGCCAGCAGACACTAGCTAAACCAGCCTGCCAGCAGACACCACCTAAACCAGCCTGCCAGCAGACACTAGCTAAACCAGCCTGCCAGCAGACACTAGCTAAGCCAGTCTGCCAGCAGACACTGGTACTAGACTGACCCCGTGGAGCTTGAAGTAGAGGCCACAGGCGTTGCAGACGGGTTCACCGTTGTTGTTCCGCCTCCAGAGCGTCGTGTTGGTCGTCTGGCAGTTGGAGCAGGTCATCCCGGACCGTCGTGGAGGCTGAGGCGTCGCCGTCGGGGCCACGTACTGTAGGACAAGGTCACCAGAGGTCAGGAGAGGTTATGCCACGTCCTAAGATGTAGTAAGACTAACTCTAGGTTCAAGTCTTGATGCGTTCCAACACAGTGCTCCTGATCTAACCGGACTCCGGTACCTACGTCGGACTGCGAACTGCGGGACCCAACAGTATGCCTGATCAGGCCATAAAGGAACAAGTCACAGGTGTTTGCAATAAACAAATGTTAGTCAGGTCAAAGGATAATTAAGCCTATAATGAGTCATCAGGCACCACGACAGGTCACAGGTCAGGGGTCATTTATAGTACGGGGTCATATAGGAGGTCATAGGGCCATTAGTCAGAGGGAACATCAGGTCAGGGGTTGTAGGAGGTCAGGGGTCGTAGGAGTTCAGGGGTCGTAAGAGCCCAGGGGTCGTAGAACATCAGAGGTCATATCAGATTAGTGGGTCTTATATCAGGTCTTTGATCACATCAGTTCAAGTGTCATATCAGTTCAAGTAGTGTCATATAAGGTCAAGGGTCATATGAGGTCAGGGGTCATATCAGGTCATAAGATAGAAAACTGAGAATATAACCAAGAGGGGGGTTGGACTTCAATAAAGAAAAACAATTCTTAAGTCTTGTAAAGATTGCCATCAGTACCCAGATGACATTAACTACCCCACGATACCTATAACTAACTATGCCATGCTAACGAGGCTGTATCTGACTGGTATACACATTGCCATAACTACCCAGCCTTCACAGTTGCCATAACTACCCAGCCTTCAGAGTTGCCATAACTACCCAGCCTTCAGAGTTGCCATAACTACCCAGCCTTCAGAGTTGCCACACACACCTTGCCTCATGTTGATGAAGTTTGTTCCCCTAAGGTGACATAGTAGAGGCCTGCCCGTCCCCCTAAAGTGCCATAGTCCACCCTCCTAAGGTGCCATAGTCCACCCTCCTAAAACCCCCAGACCCCAAAATAATAATTAAGATTATCGTACTATGCCGTCAGCTGACCATGGTATAGGCCTAATTGCTATATCGTAGTCCCAACTATATATTGTGAAATTCAAACTCTACATATATATAAAATAATCCCAACTAAATATATTACAATCCAAGGATAACATACCAAAATCCATTTTACAAATCTGTAATCCAGGCTGTTATAGAAGAGTATCTCTCCATTCCACAACAGAGGTTACTTAGCATTAAGCATATATTGGTAAATGAGAACCTAAGTCTACCAAATCACTCCCCTACCTTCCCCTGCATTCCTCTGCCTTTTTCTGCTTTCACATGCCATCCCCTGCCTTCTCCTGCCATCCCCTGCCTTCTCCTGCCTTTCCCTGCCTTCCCATGCCATCCGCTGCCTTCCCCCCCCTTCCCCTACCTTCCCATGCCATCCCCTGCCTTCTCCTGCCATCCCCTGCCTTCTCCTGCCTTTCCCTACCTTTCCCTGCCTTCCCATGCCATCCGCTGCCTTCCCCCCCCTTCCCCTACCTTCCCATGCCATCCCCTGCCTTCTCCTGCCATCCCCTGCCTTCTCCTGCCTTTCCCTACCTTTCCCTGCCTTCCCATGCCATCCGCTGCCTTCCCCCCCCTTCCCCTACCTTCCCATGCCATCCCCTGCCTTCTCCTGCCATTCCCTGCCTTCTCCTGCCTTTCCCTATCTTTCCCTGCCTTCCCATGCCATCCGCTGCCTTCCCCCCCCTTCCCCTACCTTCCCATGCCATCCCCTGCCTTCTCCTGCCTTTCCCTACCTTCCCCTACCTTCCCATGCCATCCGCTGCCTTCCCCCCCCTTCCCCTACCTTCCCATGCCATCCCCTGCCTTCTGACTTTCCCTATCTTTCCCTGCCTTCCCATGCCATCCGCTGCCTTCCCCCCCCTTCCCCTACCTTCCCATGCCATCCCCTGCCTTCTCCTGCCTTTCCCTACCTTCCCCTACCTTCCCCTACCTTCCCATGCCATCCCCTGCCTTCTCCTGCCTTCCCCTACCTTCCCCTACCTTCCCATGCCATCCCCTGCCTTCTCCTGCCTTTCCCTACCTTCCCCTACCTTCCCATGCCATCCCCTGCCTTTCACTACCTTCCCATGCCTTCCTCTACCTTCCACTACCAAGCTACCCAACCTCAGGAGGTGACAGGGACTCACGGGACTGACGGGTCGTCTCTGCGAGCGGACGTGCGGCCGGTTGATGCCGTTGGCCCTACTGTAGAGGCCGCAGGCGTTGCAGAGGTAGTGGCCCCCGGAGTCCCGGCGCCACAGTGGCGTCGTCATTGATCCGCAGTTGACACACTCTCTGTTCTCGTTGCTGTCTGGGTCACCTGCAGGTGCCAGGGGGGGACACTTGGGGTTAGTATGGGGTCATTTGAGGTCACTTTGGGTGAGGGAAGGGTCACGGGTACATGGTAGCGTACGTACACTGTGACACAACTAAGGACGATGCTTAAGCAACCTGTTCTCTTACAAATTATATCTGAATTTGTACGTTTGCCCCGTATGGCAGAAACTAATTTGAAAATGAAAAATAATTGGAAAGAAATTTTGGATTTTTGTTTTCCAAAACAGCAAGTTAAGGGTCCTGTGGTAGGTTAGGAGGGCAGGAAGTTCTCCTAAGGTTTCAAAACGATATGAAAACCGTCAATTGAAAGTTTCCTCTCAAAACCTAACCGAGTAAGCCGGAGGATTCAAACAGAAAACGGGACAGTACATCCCTTTCGTGAACCGATTTCATTTCTAATTACGTCCATTTTCGGCCATAGCGCGCAGACCAGCTCAAAGCGACCTAACTTTAAGAGAACGGGTTGGCTTAAGAACAAAGAAAGGTTAAATTAGGGCAATAAAATATAGGATGAGTCTGTTGTAGTTTGAGGAGACCGAACCTGAGGTTACAAGACATTATGAGAGTACGGGAGGCCATTAGAGACCATAATACCCCAGAATGGTATTTTCTGATCAGACTAAGACCTGCATACACAATTTATTTATTTATTTATTTATTTATTTATTTATATATATACAAGAAGGTACAGTGGGATTGTGAGGATACATAGCATAGTAATTACATTCTTGTAAAGCCACTAGTACGCGCAGCGTTTCGGGCAGACAATGAAATCATAAACGTGATGAATCAGTGAGAAAATCAGTAGGAGCCAGGAAGAGGATTCGAATCCCAACAAGGCTGCGAGTATCAGTTGCAGCATTAACCAGCTCTGTGCAACCAGCTGCAGGAGAAGCAACACAAGTTGCAGCAATTGAAGAAGAAAGGAAGATATCTCTAGAAGTAATAGAAGCAACAGAAGATCGAATCACCTAATTGTACTTGCTGGTGCTGATCTTAAGTTTTTGGGTCCGGTCATTTAATCTTCAATCAATTAGTAATTACCTAAGTGTAGTTACAGGATGAGAGTTTCGCTCGTGGTGTCCCGTCTGTAAGGGTTCCTAAGCCTGTTGTTCAAGTTCAAGTATGTTTATTGAAACAAGAAAAAATGTATCTCAAAGGGATAGAGTAGCTTAGGCTAGTTCTAACCCCCCCCCCCCCCGGTCGCCGGTCGGTCGGTCAGTCGGTCGGCCGAGCGGACAGCACGCTGGACTTGTGATCCTGTGGTCCCGGGCGCCGGCGAGAAACAATGGGCAGTTTCTTTCACCCTATGCCCCTGTTACCTAGCAGTAAAATAGGTGCCTGGGTGTTAGTCAGCTGTCACGGGCTGCTTCTTGGGGGTGGAGGCCTGGTCGAGGACCGGGCCGCGGGGACAATAAAGCCCCGAAATAATTTCAAGATAACCAATCATCTCAAGATAACCCCTCCTGCCTGTTGTTGTAATTATATCTACAGTTGAAACTGTGTTTGTAATCTGTCATCGCCACTGCACTTCTTTGTCCATTTTATTTGTCCACTGCTCTGACAGTGAACAATTAATTCGTGTACTACCCATGCTAAATAGTCTGTTCTTGTCTGCTTTATTCCCCTGAGTATTTTGTATGCGGTTATCATGTCTCCCTTGTTTCTTCTCTTTAAGTGGCGTGAGGATCAGTTCGTTTAGTCTGTACTCGTAGCTCAAACTTTTCGGCTCTGGAACTAGTCTGGTGACATACCTTTGAACTTTTTATTGATTTGTTTTGTGTTTAACAAGATAAAGATTCCACTCTAACGCCGCATATTCCAGAATTGGTCTGACATGTTGTATACAAGGTTGTGAACAACACAGTTTGTGTGTGTGTGTTTGTGTGTGTGTGGGGGGGGGGAGGGGGGGGGGGCAGGCAGTGTTGGGTATGGCTGGTGAGGGTGGGAGATGAGGGCAAGAGGGCACCACGTGCAGGAGCAGCAGTGAAGGCGCCGCTAAAGACACTCAAGACTCACGACTCCCAGGGGACCACCTCCTCTTCGACGGTCACGTCACTTCACCTCAACAATTTCCTTCTCCATCGACCGTCTTCACTTGATTTAACTGTAATTTTAGCTCTGAAGTTAGTTATACACAATTATTTATCCAACGTTATCCGTCGAGTCGCATTAACGCTCGGAATTTCAAATTTTGAAAAACATAAATATATTCACGCGTATTTCTTTCGAAGGCTACAAATTGGCGGGAAAGTTGCCCGCCAAAAGATACGAGTCCTAAGGGGCTACTCGGTAAACACAGCGCCCTCGGAGGCAAACAGCGCCCCGGAATCTGGAGTTCGTAGCTCCCAACTATAAATTAGCCTCTCAAGATGGGACATGAAGCGGCCGCGGGGTTTTTACGTCGGCGAGGCGTGAAAGCCTGATAAAGAGACCTGATGATACCGGCCGCTCTCAACGCGCCCTTTGTTCCACCACATTAACCGCCCTGTTTTCCCGCCAATGTTCAAGATATCGTTCTGTATTTTTCTTTGCAAGGCTGTCTGTTGTAAAGTGATTTGTGGATTAGCTTCTCATGGTCTTGAATTACTATTTTTGTATTAATTATCATTATTATAACTGAAATAATTATTATTCGTATTGTTATAAAGTTATTTTTATTACTATTATTATTGTTATTTTTACTATTTTATTCTCTGCTTGTAGGATCGAGCTTTAGCTCTTGGACCCCAGTCTTTCTAACCGCATGTAGCCTAATGTATTTTTTTAAATTTAATTTTGCCCCGAGGGGCAAGTTTATTGGGCAGCGCCACTCATCCTGTGAGTGAACATACCGCCATAGGGGCTGTATTGGGCAGCGCCACTCATCCTGTGAGTGAACATACCGCCATAGGGGCTGTATTGGGCAGCGCCACTCATCCTGTGAGTGAACATACCGCCATAGGGGCTGTATTGGGCAGCGCCACTCATCCTGTGAGTGAACATACCGCCATAGGGGCTGTATTGGGCACCGCTACTCATCCTGTGAGTGAACATACCGCCATAGGGGCTGTATTTGGGCACCGCTACTCATCCTGTGAGTGAACATACCGCCATAGGGGCTGTATTGGGCACCGCTACTCATCCTGTGAGTGAACATCCCACATATAGCATGTACAACACCCTTCAATAGGAAGAAAACCCGCTGGGTTGTTGTTGTTTTAGATTTAACTACTCAGAACGAAATGTCCATGTAGCACGGGCTATGGTGAGCCCGTAATTGAGTTCGGTTATTCGCGATAACCTTGTTACTGTGATATTTGGGTCAAAGTTTTAGTGCACTGGTTGTAGTCTTGTTTTAATAACATTATCTTGGTGGCGGATGTAGATGCAGAATGCTCACTAGTGAGTCCCATTCCTCAACGGCTTTTCTAATCATTGTAGTCGCTGTGGAATGTGCATCTAATGCAGCTGCTGTCGCTGGATTTAATGTTGAGTTTGATGCTTCAGTAGCTTCACTTTCCAGTAATTAGTGCGATAGTGGCGCCTCTGCTTCTGTTCCACAGCTGTGACACTCTTTAACTATTGGGTTTATTACCTCCCAGCAGCACTTGTAACCAAGTCTGAGTCTGTGTATGGCAACTGCAATGTCTCTGGATATCTTTTTGTCAGGCTTGAAAGAGTAGTACCCAGTGGCTTGTTCGTACCATATCAGAGTGGTTCTTCCTTCCGCTACTTTGGCTCTGTGGCGACTTTTGATAGTTGGGAGTATTTTCTTCTTGATTTGCTCCTTAATCTGTGAAAAACTTGGAGGTATTTGAACCTGTACAACAGGTAGAACAGTGGCAGTTTTTACTAGTGAGTCTGCCTTTTCATTACCATCTATGCCAATGTGACTTGGTATCCAATTTAGGGTGATTGACAGCCCTAGATTATGGGCTTCTTTTCCTATATGTTGGATTTCTGTGAGGAGTTGTATATTATCTCTGTGCTGGCTGGATAACAATGCCTGGAGCGAAGATACAGAGTCGGTATGAATGATGACATCATGTAAATTATTCTCAATTGTATAGTTTATGGCCTCCTTCAGGGCATATCATTCTGTCTGCAATGTTGAGCACCCAAGTGACAGAAAAGTGTAAAGTAAACTCAGGAAAAGTTTAAAGTAATAAAATTAGGAGAAGGGAGCAGGAGGCTTAACACAAGGTACCATCTGGGAGGTGAAATCCTGCAAGAGTCAAATAGAGAGAAAGATCTGGGGGTTGATATCACACCGAACCTGTCCCCAGAAGCCCACATCTAAACGATATCATTAGCGGCATATGCTAGATTGGCCAACATAAGAACTGCCGTTAGAAATCTGTGTAAGGAATCGTTCAGGACCTTGTATACCTATTATGTAAGACCAATCCTGGAGTATGCAGCTCCAGCCTGGAGTCCATACCTAGTTAAACACAAGACAAAAATTTAGAGAAGATTCAGAGGTATGCCACCAGACTAATCTCGGAACTGAGAGGTATGAGCTACGAGGAAAGGCTACGGGAGCTAAACCTCACGTCCCTGGAAGGCAGAAGAGTTAGGGGAGACATGATAACCATCTACAAAATTCTCAGGAGAACTGACAGTCTGGATAAAGACAAAATATTTAGCATAGGTGGAACACGAACAAGAGGACACAGGTGGAAACTTAGTACCCAAATGAGCCACAGAGACATTAGAACTTTTTTTTTTTTTTTTTGCAGTGATGTGGTGGAGGCAGACTCCATATGCAGTTTCAAATGTAGATATTATAGAGCCCAGTAGGCTCAGGAACCTGTACACCAGTTAATTGACAGTTGAGAGGCGGGACCAAAGAGCCAAAGCTCAACCCCCGCAAGCACAACTAGGTGAGTACACACACACACACACACACACACACACACACACACACACACACACACACACACACACACACACACACACACACACACACACACACACACAACTAGGTGAGTACACACACACACACAACTAGGTGAGTACACACACACACACAACTAGGTGAGTACACACACACACACAACTAGGTGAGTACACACACACACACAACTAGGTGAGTACACACACACACACAACTAGGTGAGTACACACACACACACACACAACTAGGTGAGTACACACACACACACACACACACACACACACACACACACACACACACACACACACACACACACACACACCGGACTGGAGTTACTGGAGCTGTACGACAAACTACCACCAATAACACGACAGAGAATGATAAACAGACTGCTTATTTCTAGACTTCCGAAAAGTCTTTGACACAGTTCTGCACAAAAGACCTCTAAGCAAACTTGAATAACAGAAGGGACGTGTGAAAATACTTATATAATGTAAGATTCATCAACTGTCAATCAACAGGTATACAGATTCCTGAGCCTAATTGGCTCTATATCCTCATTTGAAACTGTATATGGAATCTGCCTCCACAACATCATTACTTAATGCATTCCATCTGTTAACTGCTCTGACACTGAAAAAGTTCTTTCTAATGTCTCTGTAGCTCATCTGGATACTAAGTTCCCAACTGTGTCCCTTTGTTCGTGTTCTACCCGTGCTGAAACCAAATGGAAGTAAAGAATCCATATATATATAAATATATACATATATACATGTAGAATCCATATATACATGTAGATATATAAAGTTGGGAGACAGAACATAAGGCGATAGGATCCAGGAGAGGCGTGAGCCCAAGAGCTGAAACTCAATTCTCAAGTTACAAATAGGAGAGAGCACAAATAATAAGAAAATTACCACAAGAGATAGTATTAAAACCCTATAGTGTACGTTGGCCTCGTGGTGTCGGGCTTAAGGCCTATCAACCTCTGGACGGTTATTAAGACCACCACAACTGCTATCTAGTCCTGTAAACAATCCAGCACCAGATAACAATGATAACAAACTTTGGTATACATATTCTTGTTGTGTTAGTACAACCATAAACAATAAATATGGGTGTATCATATGAATGTTTACTGATGACACCGAAGCAATGAGTGTAATCAGACTAGAGGGGGTACTGTGATATACCCTGTAATGTGAACTTGACGTGCTCAAGTGGTGGGTGAAAAATGACTACTGGAAATTAACCCAGACTAATGTAAATTTGCAAGGATAGGGAGAGGGTGGGAAGGAGAGAGAGGGTGAAAGATAGCGAGAGAGAGAGAGACGGAAGGAGGGAGGGGAGGGAGGGGGGGGAATTGTTATCTTCAGTACCAGCACAACAACAACTTTGGAGTAAGTGTTTTTACATGACATGTTCCTACATGTGTATACTTACCTAGTTGTGCTTGCAGGGGTTGAGCTCTGGCTCTTTGGTCCCGCCTCTCAACCGTCAATCAACAGGTGAATGTTGATTCAGAGTGTGTGTGTGTGTGTGTGTACTCACCTATTTGTACTCGCCTATTTGTGCTTGCGGGGGTTGAGCTCTGACCCTTTGGTCCCGCCTCTCAACCGTCAGTCAACTGGTATACAGATTCCTGAGCCTACTGGGCTCTATCATATCTACATTTGAAACTGTGTATGGAGTCAGCCTCCACCACATCACTGCCTAATGCAGTCCATCCGTTAACTACTCTGACACTGAAAAAGTTCCTTCTAACGTCTCTGTGGCTCATGTGGGTACTCAGTTTCCACCTGTGTTCCCTTGTTCGCGTCCCACCAGTGTTGAATAGTTTATCTTTGTTTACCCGGTCGATTCCTCTGAGGATTTTGTAGGTTGTGATCATGTCTCCCCTTACTCTTCTGTCTTCCAGTGTCGTAAATTGCATTTCCCGCAGCCTTTCCTCATAACTCATGCCTCTTAGTTCTGGGACTAGTCTAGTAGCATACCTTTGGACGTTTTCCAGCTTCGTCTTGCGCTTGACAAGGTACGGGCTCCATGCTGGGGCCGCATACTCCAGGATTGGTGTTGCATATGTGGTGTACAAGATTCTGAATGATTCCTTACACAGGTTCCTGAACGCTGTTCTGATGTTAGCCAGCCTCGCATATGCCGCAGACGTTATTCTTTTTATGTGGGCTTCAGGAGACAGGTTTGGTGTGATATCAACTCCTAGATCTTTCTCTCTGTCCGTTTTATTAAGTACTTCATCTTCTATTCTGTATCCTGTGTCTGGCCTCCTGTTTCCACTGCCTAGTTTCATTACTTTGCATTTACTCGGGTTGAACTTCAACAGCCATTTGTTGGATCATTCACTCAGTCTGTCTAGGTCATCTTGTAGCCTCCTACTATCATCCTCTGTTTCAATCCTCCTCATAATTTTTGCATCAGCAAACATTGAGCGAAACGAGCCTATACCCTCTGGGAGATCATTTACATTTACATGTGTGTGTGTGTGTGTGTGTGTGTGTGTGTGTGTGTGTGTGTGTGTGTGTGTGTGTGTGTGTGTGTGTGTGTGTGTGTGTGTGTGTGTGTTTGTGTGTGTAAACATGTATATTATTATATACACGTAATAATAATAACTTATTTACTACTTAATAATTAAACAGCAATAACACCAACACAGGTAAAAGGGAGGGAGGGAGCTGCCGGGTCCTCACTCTAAGCGAACATGTGCAGTCTCCCCCTCGACTATCAGTCCGCAAAAGAAAACGAACACTTAAGGAAAATGTGAAGTGAGATATCATTGATAACGCTGCAAGGGTAGAAGTGTTATCGTCCTTCCCCCTCTCTTAACCCCATTATCCCTCCCCATTCCTCCCCCCCCTACCTACTCCTACCCCAAGAGGCTCCCTTAGGCCCCCAGAGGATGGGGTGAGGATCTCCAGACGAGGCAGCTAAATGGAGATTAATTTACGTCAGCAGCGTTCCCAAGTCCTCCCCTTAGCATGGCGCCGCCTCGGCTTAACCGCAAGTCTGCTCTAGATATCCGGATATCCTCACGAACTCGCCTTTTCGTTATCGCTATAGATTGTAATTCCTCTTCGCATATTTCCGGACAGATAGGGCGGGAAAATAGTGGAAGAATGGAGAGTAGGGGAGGGGGAAATAAAGCGACGTGTAAGGGCAAAAAGGCCCGTTTGGGGTTAATTCCCGCGGGTATGTTCCCTCCCTTAAAACCCCCCCCCCTCTCCCTCCTTCCTCCTCTGTGAACTACTTGGCACTGGCACTGTGGGTCTGGCTCACAGTGCCACGCTACTTGACCTGCTATCACGGGGAACAAAGAGAGAGAGAGAGAGAGAGAGAGAGAGAGAGAGAGAGAGAGAGAGAGAGAGAGAGAGAGAGAGAGAGAGAGAGAGAGAGAGAGAGAGAGAGAATGTCCAGAAGTATACCGCCAGACTTGTCCCAGAACTGAATGCTATGATTTACGACGAAAGACTATTAAGAGTTACACCTTCAAGACAGAAGGATTAAGGGAGACATGACCACTACATACAAAATTTTCAGTGACATTTATAGGGCTGATAAGAACAGATTGCTTAGCATGTATTTAATTCCAGGAAGAGGGCATATGTGGATGAGTCTGGATGGGTTGGGGGTTACTTACGATCCCTGGATGAGTAAGGAGTTACTATAAGTTACGATCCCTGGATGAGTAAACATTCATCATAATCTACTCTAAATATGAGTCTCAAAAAAAAAGTCCAATAAAAGTGTAAAGTATTGGTTAAGTAATCAGTTTAAGAAGATTAATTGCTCATAAAGTTGTAAGTAACTGCGAACTTAATCTGCGTTAACGACTAAGTAACATGCTAATTTAACTTGTCTGAATATTTAACAACATTCTTGTGGACGAGCAAGAATGGGGGGTTAATGTTAACTTCAATTCAATAACAAAAGTCTTTCTCAACTGAGATTAAAATACTTGTTTCTCAGCTAGTAAAATTATATTTGAGAAATAAATTGTATGTGATAAATATATGGTATATTTTAGCAGTTTCTGTTATACACCTGACTTTCTTTTATACCTGACTCTTTGTTTTAAACCTGACTGTTTTACACCAGAGTGTAGAGTTACTATGTTTTACACCTCACCAGAATCTCTCTTACACCTGACTGTCTCACACCTGACTCTCTCCCTGCCTCACATCTGACTCACTCTTCCTCACACCTGAAAGTGTGCGTCGCTGTTTCTCTTCGCCATTCTCTCCGTCTTTTTCGCTCTGGTAAAAACATTCTTGCCTTAGTTTTCTCTCTAATCAGCTTCACGCTTCAACGAGCCCCAGACCTGACCTACCCTGACCTGACCTGACCTTCTCTAAGGCTGAATGGATTCCCTTAAAAGTCTAACTTTATAACTCATCATTGTGTTGACCTGACTTTAGACTCGTTCCTGGGATGACCTGACCCCTCCCCCGTCCTCGTAAGGACCTGACGGCGTAGACACTGACCTGGCTCGATGCGTCGATAGGTCTCTCCGGAGGCCGTATGCAAGATGGAGTCGTAGGGCGCGGGGCTGGCCCAGGCTGCGGCAGGGGAGGTCATGTAGGTGTGGTGGGGAAGGGGCGTGGACCGCTCCAGTACCTCCTGCTGGGGTAGGTACTCCAGCTGGAACATAAGTCGCGCCACCTCTATTAATCCGGTTCCAGAGAGGGAGAGGCTAGAAGGAACATGGGGTGTAGGGGGCTAGGTGGGGTGCTGAGGGCTAGGTGGGGTGTTGAGGGCTAGGTGGGGTGTTGAGGGCTAGGTGGGGTGTTGAGGGGGGCTAGGTGGGGTGTTGAGGGCTAGGTGGGGTGTTGAGGGCTAGGTGGGGTGTTGAGGGCTAGGTGGGGTGTTGAGGGCTAGGTGGGGTGTTGAGGGCTAGGTGGGGTGTTGAGGGCTAGGTGGGGTGTTGAGGGCTTGGTGGGGTGTTGGGGGCTTGGTGGGGTGTTGGGGGCTTGGTGGGGTGTTGTGGGCTAGGTGGGGTGTTGAGGGGGGCTAGGTGGGGTGTTGAGGGCTAGGTGGGGTGTTGAGGGCTAGGTGGAGTGTTGAGGGCTAGGTGGGGTGTTGAGGGCTAGGTGGGGTGTTGAGGGCTAGGTGGGGTGTTGAGGGCTGGTGGGGTGTTGAGGGCTGGTGGGGTGTTGAGGGCTAGGTGGGGTGTTGAGGGCTAGGTGGGGTGTTGAGGGCTAGGTGGGGTGTTGAGGGCTAGGTGGGGTGTTGAGGGCTGGTGGGGTGTTGAGGGCTGGTGGGGTGTTGAGGGCTAGGTGGGGTGTTGAGGGCTAGGTGGGGTGTTGAGGGCTAGGTGGGGTGTTGAGGGCTAGGTGGGGTGTTGAGGGCTAGGTGGGGTGTTGAGGGCTAGGTGGGGTGTAGAGGGCTAGGTGGGGTGTAGAGGGCTAGGTGGGGTGTAGAGGGCTAGGTGGGGCGTACAGGGCTAGGTTGATAAAGCAGCTATAGGAAGAGCTTCCTATATGCTCTATAGGAAGATCAGATGGCTAGGAGGATAGGAGAAACAGGTGTAAGTGGAAAAAAGGGAGTTTTAGAACTGGTGGCTAGGGGATAATTCATAATTATAATGGTGTGGGGGGACAGGCAGCCAGTGAATATATATACATGTTAGTCTTATATCAAGGTAGCTTATAGCTTATATCAAAGAAAAAAAGATGATTGACAGCCGAGAGGCGGGCCGAAAGAGCCAGAGCTCGACCCCCGCAAGCACAACTAGATGAATACAACTAGGTGAATACACACGTCCCTACTACTCCTTAAAGAGACATAAAGATGGAACCGCAATCATCTACTGTGCACCATTTGGTCACCACTTGGTCCGGGAGACATCTCCCGTCACGCAGGGTGCAGTTGCGCCTCCACAGATCTCCAGTATCATCTTTTGATACTGGTAATGGCTCGAAAGGGCCACCACTTACGGGCTATTCATGCCCGTGCCACCTCTTGGGTGGCTTAATCTTCATCAATCAATCATCTACTGTGAATGACCCAGATTAGAGCCATTAGTAGTGAAGAGCCCCTTACAGGAACTCTAATCATGTAAGCCCTTGATTGATTAATTGATTGATGAAGATTAAGCCACCCAAGAGGTGGCACGGGCATGAATAGCCCGTAACCCTTGATTGATGTTTTTGTTTTAGATTTAACTACTCAGAACGAAGTGTCCATGTAGCACGGACTATGGTGAGCCCGTAATTGATAATTCGGTTATTCGCAGTAACCTTGATACTGTGATATTTGGATCAAAGTTTAAATTGGAGGTGGGGATTCCTCCGTTTTCCCGGTTTATTTTTCGCTTCTGTTTTAGTGCACTGGTTTTAGTCTTGTTTGATGATGATGATGATGAAGATTAAGCCACCCAAGAGGTGGCACGGGCATGAATAGCCCGTAAGTGGTGGCCCTTTTGAGCCATTACCAGTATCAAGAGCTGATACTGGAGATCTATGGAGGTGCGACTGCACCCTACGTGACGGGAGATGTCTCCCGGACCAAATGGTGACCAGATGGTGAGTCTTGTTTGATCCACCCCTTCATTATGTACGACCTAACCCATTCAGGGGTCACCTCACCATAGTCCTAATTACCTGCCATTATGTTTATTTGTGATGTGTGTCTATGTATGTATTAACACGATGTACTGAACGGGGTGAGAATAGCTTGAGCCACCTCATCCCTTTGTGTGTATTTTACCTCAATAAACTTATTTCAATTTCAATTACCTGCCCCCCCCCCCCCTTCCTCAACCGTTACATGTAATGACAATCAACTTTATAAGCTTAATGCATCTTGTGATCACGAAAGATTACCTTCTTGAATATAAATAAATGAATAAATAAATAAATAAATGGGCTTTATCTTCAGTAGATAACCCGCTTCCATCACCCTGGCTGTAGAGAGACATGTGTTCCTTAAGGAGCAGTAACATTGTGTTACAAGGTAGAAACACAGCCTTAAGGAGCAGTAACATTGTGTTACAAGGTAGAAACACAGCTTCAAGGAGCAGTAACATGGTGTTACAAGGTAGAAACAGCCTTAAGGAGCAGTAACATTGTGTTACAAGATAGAAACACAGCTTTAAGGAACAGTAACATAGTGTTACAAGGCACAACAGGGACTTAAGGAGCAGTAACATGATATAGGAATATCTTACAGGAGGCAGCTGGGTATACTCAGGACCTGGTGCCCACATGGTAGGGTCCGCCTTCTGCAGGTGGGCGTGGGCGTGCCCGGACGCTGGGCCGTACGGAGACTGTACGAACTCGTACGCACTCGAACGGCGCCCGTCATCCTTCACGTACCTGTAAACAGTGATTCAGGTCGAGGTTAGCGAGGTCAATACAGGTCAACGAAGGTCATTATGTCACGTCCTGTCAATAGATGTCATCATGAACGCCGCCCATTCACGTGTCCCACCACCCATTCACGTGTCCCACCGCCCATTCACGTGTCCCACCGCCCATTCACGTGTCTCACTTCCCATTCACGTGTCTCACCACCCATTCACGTGTCCCACCGCCCATTCACGTGTCTCACTTCCCATTCACGTGTCCCACTTCCCATTCACATGTCCCACCACCCATTCACATGTCCCACCACCCATTCACGTGTCCCACTTCCCATTCACGTGTCTCACCACCCATTCACGTGTCCCACTTCCCATTCACGTGTCCCACTTACCATTCACATGTCCCACCACCCATTCACGTGTCCCACCACCCATTCACGTGTCTCACCACCCATTTACGTGTCCCACCACCCACTCACATGTCCTGGGTCTTGTAGTAGTAGTAGGGGTCGGAGTAGGGGATGGAGGCGAGGGTGGTGATGGCGGGCGCTGATTCCAAGGTAGCGTAGGTGGCGCCCTCGGAGTTCAGGTGGGAGTGGGCGTGGCCATGGGCGTCGACGGTGTGGGTGTGCACGTGTTCCACCTGGTGGCTGGGTTCGTACACCACCACGCTCTGCACGGAGTACGGCGACTGCTGTGGGCAAGCAGGGAAGTCAGCTGATGAGGTAAGCATAAGTCAGCTGATGAAGTAAATAAAAATCAGCTGATTAAGTAAATAAAAATCAGCTGATGAAGTAAACAGAAATCAGCTGATGAAGTAAACAGAAATCAGCTGATGAAGTAAACAGAAATCAGCTGATGAAGTAAACAGAAATCAGCTGATGAAGTAATTGCTATATATATATATATATATATATATATATATATATATATATATATATATATATATATATATATATATATATATATATATATATATATACAATTGTTCTATTAAGAAGGTCATGTGGTCAACAATGAGAGTATTTACAATAATCAGGCGTTAGAGAGTAACTGACCTAACCAGCTGTCTTGCAATCTGTCAACTCTGTAATCAGATAACAAAATAAAATATGTGATTGAGTAGGACGGTAAAAACAGCATGATTGAGAAAGCGAGTGGCTTGATGACCACCTTGCCAGGACAAGGTGGCATCAAACCAATTAATTTCATACGAAACCTGTACATCTTTCCTCAATCATGATTTATGAGCCCCGAAGCACTATACGAGGTTGTTTATAATAATAATAACAGACTAGCTCTCTCTATGTAAATACAGGTAAATATCAGACTATTTAGTCTGTTTCTTTCTCTGTGTCTGTCTCTGTCTATGTCTCTCTCTCTCTGTCTCTCTGTCTGTCTATCTCTCTCTGTCTCTCTATCTGTCTCTCTGCCTCTCTCTCTGTCTCTCTATCTGTCTCTCTGCCTCTCTCTGTCTCTCTCTCTGTCTCTATCTGTCTCTCTTTCTGTCTGCCTGTCTCTCTCTCTCTCTCTCTCTCTCTCTCTCTCTCTCTCTCTCTCTCTCTCTCTCTCTCTCTCTCTCTCTCTCTCTCTCTCTCTCTCTCTCTCTCTCTCTCTCTCTCTCTCTCTCTCTCTCTCTCTCTCTCTCTCTCTCTCTCTCTCTCTCTCTCATCAGCAGGTCAATACTCACGTAGGAGGCGTGGTCGAGGTCGTGAACGGTGGCTGGGATGTGTGTGGTGGCGGCTGACGGAGGAGGGGAGCCCATCTCACCTTTGACCTGACGTCCCACAGTGACCACCACGTGAAGGGGAACACCACAGTGACCACCACGTGAAGGGGAACACCACAGTGACCACCACGTGAAGGGGAACACCACAGTGACCACCACGTGAAGGGGAACACCACGCCAGAGAGGAAGAGGAAACAAGAGGTCAATGAGCTTTAAACTACGTCATTAAAAAAGGGGTAAATTGAAATGTGTGTGCATCCCCGCCAAACACACACCGAAACTACGACGTTGGTACAACGTTCGAACAAGTTTTAACACTTCCTAAACAGTTATAACAACCGATATAGCAAGTTGTAACAAGGTTCAAACACGTTAAGCCAAGATGTAACAACTTTATTACAAGTTGTAACAAGCGGAAAATAGAGACAGTTTCGGTTTGTGTTTCCAGGGTGAAGCCTGGTTGGCCCTTAAGGGAAATATATTTATTAATTCACAAGTGTCCCCCAAGCACTTGGACTGGACGGTAGAGCGTCATGCAGGTCGGCGTTCAATCCCCGACCGTCTAAGGGGGTTGGGCACCATTCCTTATCCCCCCCCTACCCCTGTCCCATCCCAAAGCCTTTATCCTGATCCCTTCCCAGTGCTATATAGTCGTAATGGCTTGGCGCTTTACCCTAAAACTTCCCTCTCTACACAAGTGTCCCTTTCCGGTGTCGTCTTGGGACACGGCTGTAGTCTGCTGTGACTCCACGGACACCAGGGACGTGTCTGCTGTCTCAGGGACACCAGTTGGACGTGTCTGTTGTCTCAGGGACACCAGTTGGACGTGTCTGTTGTCTCAGGGACACCAGTTGGACGTGTCTGTTGTCTCAGGGACACCAGTTGGACGTGTCTGTTGTCTCAGGGACACCAGTTGGACGTGTCTGTTGTCTCAGGGACACCAGTTGGACGTGTCTGTTGTCTCAGGGACACCAGTTGGACGTTTCTATTGTCTCAGGGACACCAGTTGGACGTGTCTATTGTCTCAGGGACACCAGTGGACGTAGCTCCAGTCCCTGCCCTCCCAGACCACTTTGCCACTAGGCGTAAGGCCTGTCAACCTCTGGAGGATAACTTAAGCTAACTAACTGAGAGTATATTGGTAACACCAATATACTCTACTCCCCAACCAGCAAGTATACTCTGGTCCTAAACATACTCGAGGATTAAAGTCAACTCTTCGTGTATATATGCTAAAGAAGCGGGGTGTATACTTGTATGTGTACTGTTGAGGAAAGTGGCTCATTTGACCCTGATGTGTTGTTATGAAGCACCTTGTAGCGTAATGAACAAATCCACAAGGGCCGTGACGAGGGTTCGAACCTACGTCCGGGAGCATCCCAGACACGGCCTTAATCGACTGAGCTACGACAGGGTTAAAAAGAGTTGAAACCGAAGTTCTACTGAACTTACTGGATCCTGCAGCCTCTCCGAGGCACAAATCAGGATATTACACAACTCCCCCCTGCACTCGAGCTATGTCAATAGGCCGTTCTCCCTCGTCGCCCTTACGTCATTACACACAGAGATCACACTAACGTGATGTATCAAATGAACAAATCCAGTTCGAATTGAACAAATTTCGGCCCTTGTGGATTTGTTCAATTGATACATCACGTTAGTGGGATTTGTGTGTGTGTAATTGTGACGTAATGTTTTGTTATTGTTGTCGTCGGAGGCGGCTAGTTTATTGTGCACCCTATACCCATCCTGTGAGCCGTAGCGCAAAAAGCATTATAGAGGGCACTAGTCACTCGTCCTGACTTTGGCTGCCTAAATCATGTATACTGTATGTATACCTGTGTATAATTGTCTGAAAAGTGTGTATAATTGATTATAGGTCTCTTAAGATGTATACGCCTTACGCCAATAAGTAATGGAACATTTCGCGTATGTAAAATACTGTATTTTGAGCTTTGGAACACAGCCGCAAATATACAAGCTATTGATAATTTATATATATGGGAAAGTAGGCCTACTGGTGCGTTCCTGCCTTGCATGGGAAAGTAAAGTAGGTCTATTGCAGTGTTGCAGCCTTGTATAGACCAGTAGGCCTACTGCAGTTTTTGTTATAGTTTATTTCCTACCACAGACGTGGCCATACAATACTAACCAGGATTTTCTTATGTCCTCCATGGACAGGGTTAGAGATCTGTTAGACATATAGTTCAGGGATGTATTGTACAATCAACCACAGAAGGTGATTGTAGTGCTTTTGCAATGCTGACTAGCATACGTAATAATACATAAATATACGTCTGTCCTACATAATCAGGGTTTGAAGTATGTGCTGTTACATGTAGGTTACATATGTAGTTACTCTTGGTTATTGAGTACTCAACTACAGAATGTAATGAATGTCGGTTTGTAAAGATGTTATGCATATCTAACTAGCTTACACATATACATGTACATATACATGTACATATACACATACACATATATATACTTACGTCTCTGTTACTCTAACAATTGTAAGACAGCTGCTGAAGATACCGAGTGGGTAATTAAGCACTCAGTCACAGAAGGTGATTAAAGTGTTTACGTAAATTTTCCCCAGACTTGAACAAGTGATGTTTGTCATTTGGTACGAACTCTTCCTCCCAATATTTGGTTCGTATTACATTGCTCATGTCTCTCATCATCTCTCTGTATTTGCGACAAGAAATGTGTGGACATCTCACTGTGGGCTGGTTCGTGTGTGTGTGTGTGTGTGGGTCTACCAGCCGCTTCCCTCGCTCGTGTTCTTTGACGAATGGTGGAACAAGAACAGGATTCATTTGAGGGGTGGTGGGTGGTGTCCACATCTGCTAGACCTACACTTTGTACCCCCTAACACACCCGTGTCTCATAACAGGTGTGTAATGGTACCAACGAGGGCCCTATGTACCCCCCAACACACCCGCGTCTCATAACAGGTGTGTAATGGTACCAACGAGGGCCCTATGTGCCCCCCAACACACCCGTGTCTCATAACAGGTGTGTAATGGTACCAACGAGGGCCCTATGTGCCCCCCAATACACCCGTGTCTCATAACAGGCGTGTAATGGTACCAACGAGGGCCCTATGTGCCCCCCAACACACCCGTGTCTCATAACAGGTGTGTAATTGTACCAACTAGGTCCCTATGTACCCCCCAACACATCCGTGTCTCATAACAGGTGTGTAATTGTACCAACGAGGGCCCTATGTACCCCCCAATACACCCGTGTCTCATAACAGGTGTGTAATGGTACCAACGAGGGCCCTATGTACCCCCCAACACACCCGTGTCTCATAAAAGGTGTGTAATTGTACCAACTAGGTCCCTATGTACCCCCCAACACACCCGTGTCTCATAACAGGTGTGTAATGGTACCAACGAGGTCCCTATGTACCCCCAACACACCCGTGTCTCATAACAGGTGTGTAATTGTACCAACTAGGTCCCTATGTACCCCCCAACACACCCGTGTCTCATAACAGGTGTGTAATGGTACCAACGAGGTCCCTATGTACCCCCCAACACACCCGTGTCTCATAACAGGTGTGTAATTGTACCAACCAGGTCCCTATGTGCCCCCAAGACACCCGTGTCTCATAACAGGTGTGTAATTGTACCAACGAGGTCCCTATGTACCCCCCAATACACCCGTGTCTCATGGCAGGTGTGTAATTGTACCAACGAGGGCCCTATGTGCCCCCAACACACCCGTGTCTCATAACAGGTGTGTAATGGTACCAACGAGGGCCCTATGTGCCCCCCAACACACCCGTGTCTCATAACAGGTGTGTAATTGTACCAACGAGGGCCCTAGAGACCTAGTAATTGTTCATCCGTGATTGTATAACTCTGATACCATTTGGAAATTGACAAGGCGATGGAATGTTGACTTCTTGTAGGAGGCATTAGAGACTTACCTCTGACTTGGGGGTGACGTGGATGGTGTGGGTGTAGGCGTGGGCGGCCGTGTAGGCGTGCTTCAGCTCCTCCTCCTCCTCCTCCTGCTTGACGGGCGTGCGGGCGGACAGGTTGACGTCCTCCCGTATGATGACGTTGGTGGCCACGCCCACCTCCCCTACGGGCGTGCCGCAGGTGGAGGCCGCCTCGCTGTGGCCGCTGGTATTCCCCATCACTGTCAGGTTCAGCCCGCTGGTGGAGGGTGTGGGCGTCAGGTGTGGATAGCAGGTTGTGGGCGTGAGGTGCGGGTGTGGGCGTCAGGTGTGGGTGTGAGGTGCGGGTGTGGGTGTGGGCGTGAGGTGCGGGTGTGGGCGTGAGGTGTGGGTGTGGGCGTGAGGTGCGGGTGTGGGTGTGAGGTGTGGGTGTGGTGTGGGCGGCCGGAGTGTATTCACAGGTGGAATATGTAAGCGCGAGGCGTATACATGGGTGTAGAGCATGAATGTGTCGTGTATACATGGGTGTAGAGCATGAATGTGTCGTGTATACATGGGTGTAGACCATGAATGGATCATGTATACATGGGTGTAGCCAAAGAGGAAAACAAAACACAACAAAAACAGATATTTAATACACCGGACCGTGTATGACAGGTGTATGACATGTCCCATACAGCAAGACTCATGAACGAACCAGATCTCCTTGAACATCATAAGTGTTCACATGAACGTGTTCTGAGAGACGTGAACAGGACGAAGAACATGAGAGAAGATCAGGTACACATACAGCCAGGTGTACCACCATTGCCAGGTGTACCAACACACAGCCAGGTGTACCAACACCACAGCCAGGTGTACCAACACACAGCCAGGTGTACCAACACACAGCCAGGTGTACCAACACACAGCCAGGTGTACCAACACCACAGCCAGGTGTACCAACACACAGCCAGGTGTACCAACACACAGCCAGGTGTACCAACACACATCCAGGTGTACCAACACCACAGCCAGGTGTACCAACACACAGCCAGGTGTACCAACACCACAGCCAGGTGTACCAACACACATCCAGGTGTACCAACACCACAGCCAGGTGTACCAACACACAGCCAGGTGTACCAACACCACAGCCAGGTGTACCAACACACAGCCAGGTGTACCAACACACAGCCAGGTGTACCAACACACATCCAGGTGTACCAACACCACAGCCAGGTGTACCAACACACAGCCAGGTGTACCAACACACAGCCAGGTGTACCAACACACATCCAGGTGTACCAACACCACAGCCAGGTGTACCAACACACAGCCAGGTGTACCAACACCACAGCCAGGTGTACCAACACACATCCAGGTGTACCAACACCACAGCCAGGTGTACCAACACACAGCCAGGTGTACCAACACCACAGCCAGGTGTACCAACACACAGCCAGGTGTACCAACACCACAGCCAGGTGTACCAACACACAGCCAGGTGTACCAACACCACAGCCAGGTGTACCAACATACAGCCAGGTGTACCAACACCACAGCCAGGTGTACCAACACACAGCCAGGTGTACAACACCACAGAAGGCAGGAAAGGCAGTAACCTTCCTTAGGAAAAGTGAAAGACATATCAGTAGACTTAACCCAAAAAGCTCAGGAAACTATGAGGAGAAAGCACTGAGCCGCTAGGAGTCTGTAGCATTGGGCTGGGATATGAGGACAAGGAGCTGGGATATGAGGACAAGGAGCTGGGATATGAGGACAAGGAGCTGGGATATGAGGACAAGGAGCTGGGATATGAGGACAAGGAGCTGGGATATGAGGACAAGGAGCTGGGATATAAGGACAAGGAGCTGGGATATGAGGACAAGGAGCTGGGATATAAGGACAAGGAGCTGGGATATGAGGACAAGGAGCTGGGATATGAGGACAAGGAGCTGGGATATGAGGACAAGGAGCTGGGATATGAGGACAAGGAGCTGGGGTATGAGGACAAGGAGTTGGGATATGAGGACAAGGAGCTGGGATATGAGGACAAGGAGCTGGGATATAAGGACAAAGAACTGGGATATAAGGACAAGGAGCAGGGATATGAGGACAAAGAGCTGGGATATGAGGACAAGGAGCTGGGATATGAGAACAAGGAGCTGGGATATGAAGACAAGGAGCTAGAATATAAAGACAAGGAGCTGGGATATGAGGACAAGGAGCTGGGATATGAGGACAAGGAGCTGGGATATGAGGACAAGGAGCTGGGATTGAGGACAAGGAGCTGGGATATGAGGACAAAGAACTGGGATATAAGGACAAGGAGCAGGGATATGAGGACAAAGAACTGGGATATAAGGACAAGGAGCAGGGATATGAGGACAAAGAGCTGGGATATGAGGACAAGGAGCGGGGATATGAGGACAAGGAGCTGGAATATGAAGTATAAGGACAAGGAGCTGGGATATGAGGACAAGGAGCTGGGATATGAGGACAAGGAGCTGGGATATGAGGACAAGGAGCTGGGATATGAGGACAAGGAGCTGGGGTATGAGGACAAGGGGCTAGGATATGAGGACAAGGAGCTGGGATATGAGGACAAGGAGCTGAGATATGAGGAAAGGAGCTGGGATATGAGGACAAGAAGCTGGGATATGAGGACAAGGAGCTGGGATATGAGGACAAGGAGCTGGGATATGAGGACAAGGAGTTGGGATATGAGGACAAGGAGCTGGGATATGAGGACAAGGAGCTGGGATATGAGGACAAGGAGCTGGGATATGAGGACAAGGAGCTGGGATATGAGGACAAGGAGCTGGGATATGAGGACAAGGAGCTGGGATATGAGGACAAGCAGCTGGGATATGAGGACAAGCAGCTGGGATATGAGGACAAGGAGCTGGGATATGAGGACAAGGAGCTGGGATATGAGGACAAGGAGCTGGGATATGAGGACAAGGAGCTGGGATATGAGGACAAAGAGCTGGGATATGAGGACAAGGAGCTGGGATATGAGGTCAAGGAGCTAGGATATGAGGACAAGGAGCTGGGATATGAGGACAAAGAGCTGGGATATGAGGACAAGGAGCTGGGATATGAGGACAAGGAGCTGGGATATGAGGACAAGGAGCTGGGATATGAGGACAAGGAGCTGGGATATGAGGACAAGGAGCTGGGATATGAGGACAAGGAGCTGGAATATGAGGACAAAGAGCTGGGATATGAGGACAAGGAGCTGGGATGAGGACAAGGAGTTGGGATATGAGGACAAGGAGCTGGGATATGAGGACAAGGAGCTGGGATATGAGGACAAGGAGCTGGGATATGAGGACAAGGAGCTGGGATATGAGGACAAAGAGCTGGGATATGAGGACAAGGAGCTGGGATATGAGGACAAGGAGCTGGGATATGAGGACAAGGAGCTGGGATGAGGACAAGGAGTTGGGATATGAGGTCAAGGAGCTGGGATATGAGGACAAGGAGCTGGGATATGAGGACAAGGAGCTGGGATATGAGGACAAGGAGCTGGAATATGAGGACAAGGAGCTGGGATATGAGGACAAGGAGCTGGGATATGAGGACAAGGAGCTGGGATATGAGGACAAGGAGCTGGGATGAGGACAAGGAGTTGGGATATGAGGTCAAGGAGCTGGGATATGAGGACAAGGAGCTGGGATATGAGGACAAGGAGCTGGGATATGAGGACAAGGAGCTGGAATATGAGGACAAGGAGCTGGGATATGAGGACAAGGAGCTGGGATATGAGGACAAGGAGCTGGGATATGAGGACAAGGAGCTGGGATATGAGGACAAGGAGCTGGGATATGAGGACAAGGAGCTGGGATATGAGGACAAGGAGCTGGCATATGAGGACAAGGAGCTGGGATATGAGGACAAGGAGCTGGGATATGAGGATGGGATGAATGATCAGTGCCCAATCACCTACGCCATCGGGGCTCGAACGCCAACCTTGAGAAAGCGTGGCTGGCGCTGCACCAGCCTAGCCAAGTGTACCAGGAAGCCATGCCAAATGCTAGCCACAATAGACCGAGAGAACCTAGATGCGAGAGCTTAGATGATCGAAAGGCGGGGCTTAGGAGCTGACACTCGACCCTGTCAGCACATTTAGGTGAGGCGAGACTGATACAGACAGTTGAGCAACGGAAAGCGTCATAGCCTATAAGCGGCCATCTTGGCTACGGAAGTGACGTACCCGTGACGTCATACAGCCGTGACGTCACACGCGGCTCTATTGACATATTTTGGCGCCAAATGCAAATGTTTATTCCGGGTCAGAAGGGTAAACTTCGCCACACCGGATAATGTCCACATTGTCCACTAATATTGCTGAAATACGTCATATATTTGACGGATTGGTTGAAGCCGTACAACAAATCCAGCTTCACTGTGCTTCAGAACACAGAAAACGAGTTGTATAACAAAAAGGAAAACGGGAAAACAATAACTCGCAAAAAAACCACACGAATTTAGAGGTATTACTAAAGTTACTTTCAAAATTATATATATTTAAAACGTAAAAAAAAAAATATTCACATCAATTCTATTATAAATGCAAATAACAATAATAATCGTATCAATAGAATTTAATTTTCAACGTAAAAAAATAATATTTATCACAATATGTTCATTATTGACTAAATTATTTGCATAATTAGCATTAAATATGTAAATGATTTACGTGATAAAGAAGGTGATAGACTTACCCAGGGTGGTCGTGGGGGGTGGGTTCCCGGGGCTGGGGTTGGTGCCAGGCCTCCCCCGTCATTGTGGAGTGGTGGGGGGGCAGGGGGATGCCGCCCCCTCCATTGTGTTGGGGGGTCGTCGACAGGCCTCTGGGCGACCCCTCCCCCTCCTGGGCGGGGGAGGTGCTGCTTCTGGCCTCACCGCTCATTAGCCAGGTCGTGTGAGAGGTCAGGAGGTCGTGTGAGAGGTCAGGAGGTCGTGTGAGAGGTCAGGAGGTCGTGTGAGAGGTCAGGAGATCGTGTGAGAGGTCAGGAGGTCGCGTGAGAGGTCAGGAGGTCGTGTGAGAGGTCAGGAGGTCGTGTGAGAGGTCAGGAGGTCGTGTGAGAGGTCAGGAGGTCGCGTGAGAGGTCAGGAGGTCGTGTGAGAGGTCAGGAGGTCGTGTGAGAGGTCAGGAGGTCGCGTGAGAGGTCGGAGAGGTCAGGCTTCTTTTCTCGAATGATAGATTTTAATTATTTTTTTGTTAGTTAAATTGTTGTATAGGGCCTCACTGGACAGTGTCCAACAGCTGGTCTTGGTGGGACAGTGTCCAACAGCTGGTCTTGGTGGGGCAGTGTCCAACAGCTGGTCTTAGTGGGACAGTGTCCAACAGCTGGTCTTGGTGGGGGACAGTGTCCAACAGCTGGTCTTAGTGGGACAGTGTCCAACAGCTGGGCTTGGTGGGGGACAGTGTCCAACAGCTGGTCTTAGTGGGACAGTGTCCAACAGCTGGGCTTGGTGGGGGGACAGTGTCTAACAGCTGGTCTTGGTGGTAGGACAGTGTCCAACAGCTGGTCTTAGTGGGGACAGTGTCCAACAGGTATTTCTATGGAAAGATCTTCGTATAAGTTAAAATTTCTAGCCTACAGCTTTCTTGCCCTTAATATGTAACTATCAAATTTTAAATTTTAATTAGTATCCCATAAATACACATTTCTCAGATTTATAAAATAGTTCAAAAGATTCTGAGATTTCTAATTAGAATGTATTTATGCTACGCTTTTGTTCTTTTGGCGTTTAAAACCAATTTTTGTTCAAATGTTTGTTGGATTTTTAAATACCAATTAAATAGTTTGACGGAAAATTGAATGAAGTAATAGGGAGCGTTTTATTAAGGGTTCTAATGGTTTCCTTTGATGTGTATGGCGAGGGGGGGGAGGGGAGATGTTTGTGATGTTAATTCAAACGAAAATTACAAAAACATTCGTTCATAGTATGGGAATAGCTCTTGGGTTTTGGCCACACTTGCAGCGTAAATTCTGAGTCTGATTTAGGATTCGGGAAGATTTGTGAAGACACTTTAGGATTTTTTTTATAGATTTCACCGTTTAGGAAAATTATGCTGGATTTTCTGATTCTTATTAATGTCTGTCTATCGAGATTTCGTTTCTGTCTTGTTTTTCTCTCTTTTTCTCTTTGGCGTCTCTTCGTTATCTCTCTGTCTCTCTCTTTCTCTCTTTCTCTCTTAGCTGTCGTCCACTTTACCGGCACACCTGTAAGACAGGTGTAGGAATGAGCTATATATCTCCCCGTTTATAGGATTAAAGATGGAACAATAGCCTAGTCAATCCATGCCAAACCTAGTCAAGCCTAGTCAAGCCATGCCAAACCTAGTCAAGCCATGCCAAGCCTAGTCAAGCCTAGCCAGATCCACAACAACATCTTTACTGACCAACCAACACGTATATGCCTTAGTCCTGAACATAGTCCGGGACTAAAGTATACTCTCGGTGTATACTAAGTATACACCGAGAAGCGGGCGACACCTCTGTGTATATACACTGAAGATGGCAGTACATCGCCTAGACGCTGTGATACGTGGGGGCACGTATACTGGGATATGGTATAACATACATGCTGGGTATGATACGGGGTGTATATGAGTGTATGGCACTGTGTATGTGAAGCTGTGTTTGACTCTCTTATATTATTATCTGTAGCAGAGTGACATGAGGCACTCTTGTTAGTGTGGCACTGTGTATGTGGTGGTGTTAGTATGGCACTGTGAATGTAACGTTGTTAGTGTGGCACTGTGAATGTAACGTTGTTAGTGTGGCACTGTGTATGTGGTGGTGTTAGTGTGGCACTGTATGTGGTGGTGTTAGTGTGGCACTGTATGTGGTGGTGTTAGTGTGGCACTGTGTATGTGGTGGTGTTAGTGTGGCACTGTATGTGGTGGTGTTAGTGTGGCACTGTATGTGGTGGTGTTAGTGTGGCACTGTATGTGGTGGTGTTAGTGTGGCACTGTATGTGGTGGTGTTAGTGTGGCACTGTATGTGGTGGTGTTAGTGTGGCACTGTGTATGTGGTGGTGTTAGTGTGGCACTGTATGTGGTGGTGTTAGTGTGGCACTGTGTATGTGGTGGTGTTAGTGTGGCACTGTGTATGTGGTGGTGTTAGTGTGGCACTGTGTATGTGGTGGTGTTAGTGTGGCACTGTATGTGGTGGTGTTAGTGTGGCACTGTATGTGGTGGTGTTAGTGTGGCACTGTATGTGGTGGTGTTAGTGTGGCACTGTATCTGGTGGTGTTAGTGTGGCACTGTATGTGGTGGTGTTAGTGTGGCACTGTGTATGTGGTGGTGTTAGTGTGGCACTGTATGTGGTGGTGTTAGTGTGGCACTGTATGTGGTGGTGTTAGTGTGGCACTGTGTATGTGGTGGTGTTAGTGTGGCACTGTGTATGTGGCGTTGTTAGTGTGGCACTGTGTATGTGGCGTTGTTAGTGTGGCACTGTGTATGTGGTGGTGTTAGTGTGGCACTGTGTATGTGGTGGTGTTAGTATGGCACTGTGAATGTAACGTTGTTAGTGTGGCACTGTGAATGTAACGTTGTTAGTGTGGCACTGTGTATGTGGTGGTGTTAGTGTGGCACTGTATGTGGTGGTGTTAGTGTGGCACTGTATGTGGTGGTGTTAGTGTGGCACTGTATGTGGTGGTGTTAGTGTGGCACTGTATGTGGTGGTGTTAGTGTGGCACTGTGTGTGGTGGTGTTAGTGTGGCACTGTGTATGTGGTGGTGTTAGTGTGGCACTGTATGTGGTGGTGTTAGTGTGGCACTGTGTATGTGGTGGTGTTAGTGTGGCACTGTGTATGTGGTGGTGTTAGTGTGGCACTGTGTATGTGGTGGTGTTAGTGTGGCACTGTATGTGGTGGTGTTAGTGTGGCACTGTATGTGGTGGTGTTAGTGTGGCACTGTATGTGGTGGTGTTAGTGTGGCACTGTATCTGGTGGTGTTAGTGTGGCACTGTATGTGGTGGTGTTAGTGTGGCACTGTGTATGTGGTGGTGTTAGTGTGGCACTGTATGTGGTGGTGTTAGTGTGGCACTGTATGTGGTGGTGTTAGTGTGGCACTGTGTATGTGGTGGTGTTAGTGTGGCACTGTGTATGTGGCGTTGTTAGTGTGGCACTGTGTATGTGGCGTTGTTAGTGTGGCACTGTGTATGTGGTGGTGTTAGTGTGGCACTGTGTATGTGGTGGTGTTAGTGTGGCACTGTATGTGGTGGTGTTAGTGTGGCACTGTATGTGGCGTTGTTAGTGTGGCACTGTGTATGTGGTGGTGTTAGTGTGGTACTGTGTATGTGGCGTTGTTAGTGTGGCACTGTGTATGTGGCGTTGTTAGTGTGGCACTGTGTATGTGGTGGTGTTAGTGTGGCACTGTATGTGGTGGTGTTAGTGTGGCACTGTGTATGTGGTGGTGTTAGTGTGGTACTGTGTATGTGGCGTTGTTAGTGTGGCACTGTGTATGTGGCGTTGTTAGTGTGGCACTGTGTATGTGGTGGTGTTATTGTATTTAATGTCTCTGTATAATAGACACTAATTTATTTATTTTTTAAACACTACGAGTGGCACTGTAGGGAATCAATGGGTGGCACTGTAGGGAATCAATGGGTGGCACTGTACGGGAATCAATGGGTGGCACTGTACGGGAATCAATGGGTGGCACTACGGGAATCAATGGGTGGCACTGTAGGGAATCAATGGGTGGCACTGTACGGGAATCAATGGGTGGCACTGTACGGGAATCAATGGGTGGCACTGTACGGGAATCAATGGGTGGCACTGTAGGGAATCAATGGGTGGCACTGTAGGGAACCAATGGGTGGCACTGTACGGGAATCAATGGGTGGCACTGTACGGGAATCAATGGGTGGCACTGTAGGGAATCAATGGGTGGCACTGTACGGGAATCAATGGGTGGCACTGTACGGGAATCAATGGGTGGCACTGTAGGGAATCAATGGGTGGCACTGTAGGGAACCAATGGGTGGCACTGTACGGGAATCAATGGGTGGCACTGTACGGGAATCAATGGGTGGCACTGATTTTGAGACATTTCGAGTGACAGTTTATGAGAATTAAGCACTGTAAGTGTTTAATTTCATTTCATTTATTTATTTATTATGCGCCCGGCACCGAGTGTGACACTATTAGACGAAGCTTGAGTGCCACCGAGTGCCACTGTGCCACCGTGAGTCTTGAGTGTGGCACTGTGCCACCGTGAATCTTGAGTCTGGCACTGTGCCACCGTGAATCTTGAGTCTGGCACTGTGCCACCGTGAATCTTGAGTCTGGCACTGTGCCACCGTGAATCTTGAGTCTGGCACTGTGCCACCGTGAATAAGCTCAAGCGTGACACTCTGAGTTTGACGACTGTGAACGACACACTAAACGCGAGTGTGTGTGAAAGTGTGATTAGATATAATTGCGCGTGTTGCACACTGTGGCACTCAGCGAGACACTCTAATTGATCATCCACTGTAATTATAGTTTATGCAATTTTCATGGTTACCGATACACTGAGGGATGATGATGATGATGGCACTGTGTATCAGCGTCAGTATGGCACTGTGTAGCACCGTCAGTATGGCACTGTGTAGCAGCGTCAGTATGGCACTGTGTAGCAGCGTCAGTATGGCACTGTGTAGCAGCGTCAGTATGGCACTGTGTAGCAGCGTCAGTATGGCACTGTGTAGCAGCGTCAGTATGGCACTGTAGCAGCGTCAGTATGGCACTGTGTAGCAGCGTCAGTATGGCACTGTGTAGCAGCGTCAGTATGGCACTGTGTAGCAGCGTCAGTATGGCACTGTGTAGCAGCGTCAGTATGGCACTGTGAGTGTGGCATTGAGGCAGACGACCACTTGTTGCTGGCGGCGGCGTAGGACGCGGGCCAGCGTGCCAGAGCGTGGCACTCTCCATGGCTCCGCTGGAAGATGCCACTTTCCAGTCACGTCTGTTTTAGAGGCCCGAATAGTTTGATCATTCCAGGGAGCTTTGGCCCAATGCGATAGTTGGATGAGATAAGATTTTGGTGTATGCTCTCGCAAAGATATGACCGATAGCGGATCTGTCTAGCCGGGGCTGAGGGAACAATCATTATATACTCTCTGAGATAAAATGATAAAACACTAATCTTTCCAGTACAATCTTTCCCGGGGATAATCAGCGGATTCCAGTACGTCCCTGGAACCTGGAATAGTGAGGGATGGTTCCCCAAGTGTCAAGGGGAAGGCTATAGCTAATGTTACCGGAATTCACAAGGCCATTGTTCCAGGCAATGTGCCACTAACGCCACCATCACTGGAAACTGGAAGATATTGAATGTGTGTAGACAAAGAGATCCCAATTCGGACTTACCAGTAAGCGCTGCTGAGGGCCTGGAGTACCGACCTCAACTAAACCACGTCCCTCCTGCTACCTAGGAGAGGTGGGGGGGGGGAGGGGGGGAGAGGCAGGTGAGTGGCACAGGGGGTCACCTGAGCCGCCTTCCTCGCTAGCTTTCCTCCCCCACGCTGCTGGACGCTGGGCTCCGGAAGGAAGTATGTGTTTGACGGCGGCCAGGAAGGTCGTGTGTGTGGGATATAACGACCCCGGCAGGTAGTAGGCAGGTGGCAGGCTTCCAGTGGTGTGTGAAGGTGGCAGGGGTGGGCCGCAGGGTAGTGCCACCCCCCACCCCCCCCCCCCACCCCCATCCCCGCCATTACCAACAAGCAGGAGAGCCACACACACACACACACACACGAACCCTCCAGCCAATCACAACTGTTATCGCCTGTGATGTCGTTGGGAGGTGTCCTTTAGAGCTTACACTCCCCTACTCTCACCGCCAAATAATGACCTTTATATTTGTACGACCACAAATTTCAATTTCTCCACCGCTCGGAACAAGAACGTTACGCGGCCATCAATGTGCCGTCGATAAGTGCCATAATCAGGTGCCTGGGCCCGGCCAGGTGAGCCTCGCCGCCCCTGCCGGGAGTGCGACCAGGCAAGGCGGTGACTACATCAAGGGGCGAGCAAACATGGCTGCCACCTTATCGTGCCCCGATATCACTTATCGGAAAGCTTATCAGCCCTCATGCGTACCATTTGATTTAGATTATTTTATAAATCTTAATCTAGGATAGAGGGTGGGAAGATGGAGGTGAGCGAAAACTTGTAGCGACACCCGATGGTTTTGGCTGCTGATAACCTGGATTGTAACCGCTCTCTAGCGTCTCTCTGTTGACTCAGCTCTACAGTTCACTCTGTCGAATTACCTTTAATAAACTGGCAATTATACCGTTAGGTACAAATCACGGCATTGCCAACATCCGCGCTTGTTAACGGAGAAAGTTTCTGCGGATGTGGATCTCTGCTGTTTGCTAGCCGACGCCTGCAGTTTGGCGCCAAAACTCGCGCTCGTCACGTGTCATATCCGCCATCTTGCTCCGCTACGCGGACCTTGATCTAATTTACGAACTGGATGAATACCCCCATTTTAAAAGCCTTTCAACTACTTTAATTTGCTTTCAGTACAATGCCGGGACCATACAGTTAAATAGCAATATCAGTAATGGAGGTAAATAAGTCAGTGACCCCCTAGCAGCTCCAGACACTCCATGCTCCCTGGACGGTATCTGTCAGTGTTGTAGGTCCGCCAGGCTTCGGACGCCCCCCTGTACCCATCCCTCCAACCTGATCTGGTATGGGGAATTTCCTGTGTTAAAATAACCTCATGTCACATACAAGTGTACGTCAGTAATATGTAACTAAGCTCCTGTAGCATGTTTCTTCTCCTAATTGGCCAGCCCCATCCTGCGGGTGGTGGACCCCAGCCCCATCCTGCGGGTGGTGGACCCCAGCCCCCTCCTGAGGGTGGTGGACCCCAGCCCCATCCTGCGGGTGGTGGACCCCAGCCCCATCCTGAGGGTGGTGGACCCCAGCCCCATCCTGCGGGTGGTGGACCCCAGCCCCATCCTGAGGGTGGTGGACCCCAGCCCCATCCTGAGGGTGGTGGACCCCAGCCCCATCCTGCGGGTGGTGGACCCCAGCCCCATCCTGCGGGTGGTGGACCCCAGCCCCATCCTGAGGGTGGTGGACCCCAGCCCCATCCTGCGGGTGGTGGACCCCAGCCCCCTCCTGAGGGTGGTGGACCCCAGCCCCATCCTGCGGGTGGTGGACCCCAGCCCCATCCTGCGGGTGGTGGACCCCAGCCCCATCCTGAGGGAGGTGGACCCCAGCCCCATCCTGAGGGTGGTGGACCCCAGCCCCATCCTGAGGGTGGTGGACCCCAGCCCCATCCTGCGGGTGGTGGACCCCAGCCCCATCCTGAGGGTGGTGGACCCCAGCCCCATCCTGCGGGTGGTGGACCCCAGCTCCATCCTGCGGGTGGTGGACCCCAGCCCCATCCTGAGGGAGGTGGACCCCAGCCCCATCCTGAGGGTGGTGGACCCCAGCCCCATCCTGAGGGTGGTGGACCCCAGCCCCATCCTGCGGGTGGTGGACCCCAGCCCCATCCTGCGGGTGGTGGACCCCAGCCCCATCCTGCGGGTGGTGGACCCCAGCCCCATCCTGAGGGTGGTGGACCCCAGCCCCATCCTGAGGGTGGTGGACCCCAGCCCCATCCTGCGGGTGGTGGACCCCAGCCCCATCCTGCGGGTGGTGGACCCCAGCCCCATCCTGAGGGGTGGTGGACCCCAGCCCCATCCTGAGGGGTGGTGGACCCCAGCCCCATCCTGAGGGTGGTGGACCCCAGCCCCATCCTGCGGGTGGTGGACCCCAGCCCCATCCTGCGGGTGGTGGACCCCAGCCCCATCCTGAGGGTGGTGGACCCCAGCCCCATCCTGAGGGTGGTGGACCCCAGCCCCATCCTGAGGGGTTGTAGCGGAAAGTCTACAATCACACAATGATATCAGAGATATTTATATCCTTTGAGATCACTATGATGGTCGAACCAGGATGCACGAAGTACAAGGCTCACTGGTGACCACCATTCCCAGCCGTAGTGTAGCTTGGTAGTTGGCAGAACTAGCGTAGTTCAGCTGTTAACAATCGTACTGTACACTCGGTAGGACTTGTGTTTTGAGACGTGTTAATTACCCGTGTTTTGAGACGTATGAGTTTTGAGACGTTTTAATTACCTGTGGTTTGAGACGTGTTATTTACCTGTGTTTTGAGACGCATGAGTTTTGAGACGTTTTAATTACCTGTGGTTTGAGACGTGTTATTTACCTGTGTTTTGAGACGTGTTAATTACCTGTGTTTTGAGGCGTATGAGTTTTGAGACGTGTTAATTACCTGTGTTTTGAGACGTGTTAATTACCTGTGGTTTGAGACGTATGAGTACTTGTGTTTTGACATGTGAAGTACTTGTGAGAATATCAGTTGACGAGGGATTTTTGTTTATATAAGACTCGATAAGGTTCGCACGATGTGAGAAAAACTCGATGGTGATTGGCCGTTGCAAAATAAGAACGAAGAGCAGAAGCCAATCAGGACTGACGTACCATGTCACCAAGCCTATACGTCACGCCATACCTACATAAGAGCCTTACCAGAGCATCATAACAGATCAAACAGTTCCTGCTTCGAGTTTTTCATTTACGCCAAGAAGCCTCGCATGTTGTTCATGGTGTCGAACTGTTTATATATTCTGTATATATACTGTATATATGACAGTGTCAGACCACGGAGGAAAATTGAAACAGGAATTTCCTTAAGTACTTTCGTATATTAATACATCTTCAGAAGGAGTGATCCTTCTGAAGATGTATTAATATACGAAAGTACTTAAGGAAATTCCTGTTTCAATTTTCCTCCGTGGTCTGACGCTGTCATATATACAGTGGTGGTGGTGGGAGACATCAAACCCAGGACCGGCCACCAGAGACAGACGTCTCGAAGACAGAGATACAGATACAGAGAACCAGATAAGGTGAGAGACAGAGACAGAGACAGATAAACACCGAGGGGGGGGGAAGAGACAGACAAATCCAAGTATCCTTCCTAGTGCGTATTTGCTATTTCATTGTGCCTGCAGAATTGAGCTACTAGCTCTTGGACCCCGACTTTCTAACCTTTCTATTATGTTCCTCTCTTGTGTCTTCTACATATGTATTTATTTTCCAACACATACATATACATACATACATACACAGCCCAAGAAAACAGCCCGTAGTAGGTGTCTAACTCTCAGGTACCTATTTACTGCTTGGTGAACAGATGCATGAGGTGAATCTCCTGCCATTTGCTTCCGCCCAGTCCTAAGGGCCGGGAATCGAACCCGGGCCGTTAGGACTACGACCCCCGAGCGCTGTTTATTCAGCCGCGAGGCCCTGTGTGTGTGTGTGTGTGTGTGTGTGTGTGTGTGTGTGTGTGTGTGTGTACTCACCTAATTGTACTCACCTAATTGTGCTTGCGGGGGTTGAGCTCTGGCTCTTTGGTCCCGCCTCTCAACCGTCAATCAACTGGTGTACAGATTCCTGAGCCTATTGGGCTCTATCATATCTACATTTGAAACTGTGAATGGAGTCAGCCTCCACCACATCACTTCCTAATGCATTCCATTTGCTAACTACTCTGACACTGAAAAAGTTCTTTCTAACGTCTCTGTGGCTCATTTGGGTACTCAGCTTCCACCTGTGTCCCCTTGTTCGCGTCCCACCAGTGTTGAAAAGTTCGTCCTTGTTTACCCGGTCGATTCCCCTGAGGATTTTGTAGGTTGTGATCATGTCCCCCCTTACTCTTCTGTCTTCCAGTGTCGTGAGGTGCATTTCCCGCAGCCTTTCCTCATAACTCATGCCTCTTAGTTCTGGGACTAGTCTAGTAGCATACCTTTGGACTTTTTCCAGCTTCGTCTTGTGCTTGACAAGGTACGGGCTCCATGCTGGGGCCGCATACTCCAGGATTGGTCTTACATATGTGGTGTACAAGATTCTGAATGATTCCTTACACAGGTTCCTGAACGCCGTTCTGATGTTAGCCAGCCTCGCATATGCCGCAGACGTTATTCTCTTTATGTGGGCTTCAGGAGACAGGTTTGGTGTGATATCAACTCCTAGATCTTTCTCTCTGTCTGTTTCATTAAGTACTTCATCTCCTATTCTGTATCCTGTGCCTGGCCTCCTGTTTCCACTGCCTAGTTTCATTACTTTGCATTTACTCGGGTTGAACTTCAACAGCCATTTGTTGGACCATTCACTCAGTCTATCCAGGTCATCTTGTAGCCTCCTACTATCATCCTCTGTTTCAATCCTCCTCATAATTTTTGCATCGTCGGCAAACATTGAGAGGAACGAATCTATACCCTCTGGGAGATCATTTACATATACCAGAAACAGTATAGGTCCGAGGACTGACCCCTGCGGGACTCCACTTGTGACGTCTCGCCAATCTGAGACTTCACCCCTCACACAGACTCGTTGTCTCCTGTTGCTTAGGTATTCCTCTATCCACCGGAGTACCTTCCCTCTCACTCCAGCCTGCATCTCCAACTTTCGCACTAGCCTCTTGTGTGGCACTGTATCAAAGGCTTTCTGACAATCCAAAAATATGCAGTCTGCCCACCCTTCTCTTTCTTGCCTTATTTTTGTTGCCTGGTCGTAGAATTCAAGTAACCCTGTGAGGCAGGACCTGCCATCCCTGAACCCATGTTGATGCTGTGTTACAAAGTTCCTTCGCTCCAGATGCTCCACTAGTTTTTTTCGCACAATCTTCTCCATCAGCTTGCATGGTATGCAGGTTAGGGACACTGGCCTGTAGTTCAGTGCCTCCTGTCTATCCCCTTTCTTGTGTGTGTGTGTGTGTGTGTGTGTGTGTGTGTGTGTGTGTGTGTGTGTGTGTGTGTGTGTGTACTCACTTAGTTGTGCTTGCAGGGGGTTGAGCTCTGGCTCTTTGGTCCCGCCTCTCAACCGTCAATCAACAGGTGTGTGTGTGTGTGTGTGTGTGTGTCATAACAAAAGTCAACAACAACTCCCTAAAGACAAAGTAATCATGAAAAGTACAAAACATGAAACAAGTACAAACAAATAACTCTTTACCTGTGTGACGTCGACATTTGTGCGTTCTCTCTACTTGTTCCTTGTTTCTCCGTTCGTCGTATATTCTCATCTCTTTATGTTCATCCTAATTCTTCATCTTCCATCTGCTGTTATCATCGTCTTTGTCCACTTCCTCTTTCTTCTTTGGTTCAGGTTCCCCCCCCCCTCCCGTCTCTTTCCCTGGACCTGCTTTCATCTTTCTGTCTATTTTCTCCCTCCTTCCGTTCCGTCCGTCCGTCATCTTGCGCCTTGTTCCTCTCCTTCTGTTGACAGAAAATAAAAAAAAGAAGTCATCATCTATTTTTTGGCTCAGTTATCCATACCCGTTTCCTCCTGTTTCTTTGTTACCTTGTTGCCTTTTCCTGTTTTCTATGGAAAGCTTTTTTTCTCCTTTTTCGTAAAATTCGTTATTTTCAACTTGCAATCGGGAATTCCGGGTTCGAATCCCGGGCGGGAGAGAGATATGGTTCGACGCGTTTCCTATCACCTAATGCCCCTGTCCACCTAGCAGTAAATAGGTACCCAGAAGTCAACTTGTTGAGGGGGTTGCATCCTGGGGCGGGTCCCCTTCACTCAAACTCATATAAATATATATATATATATATATATATATATATATATATATATATATATATATATATATATATATATATATATATATATATATATATATATATATTAAATATGACCGAAAAAGTAAGATTAATAATTCTAACACGAATTTTCTCAATCTTTCGTACATTACGCTTCACTGTTGGAGGTAAATCAAAAATCACTTCTCCAAAATTCATTTTTATTTCTAGTCTGACGCAACACGGGCGCGTTTCGTAAAACTTATTACATTTTCAAAGACTTCACAAATACACAAATGAAAATGTAATAAGTTTTACGAAACGCGCCCGTGTCGCGTCAGACTAGAAATAAAAATGAATTTTGGAGAAGTGATTTTTGATTTACCTCCAACAGTGAAGCGTAATGTACGAAAGATTGAGAAAATTCGTGTTAGAATTATTAATCTTACTTTTTCGGTCATATTTAATAATATATGTCTACAGGAAAGACTGCTACCAAAATATACTAATATATATATATATATATATATATATATATATATATATATATATATATATATATATATATTAAACCGTAGTGTGGAGTTTACAGTATACCCTGTTAGCAGTATGTACACTACAAAGAGTACACACTGTTTACAAACTAGTATGTACCCAGGTCTTTTACGAATCTAAACTTGGATAGTTTATAACTATTGTTTCAAGAACTACTTTGTGTTAATATATCTCCTTGTTTATATCGCCTGGTAAAGACTTGGAGATCAATGTTTAGAACGTCAGTCTATATGCTAAATGATGAGCGTTTGATTTATAAGTCATTAACGCAATTTGCATCAAATTAACTTATCCAGTACTTCATTAAACAAACCTTAAGGAATAATAATGCACTGAAGAGAATAATTCATAATACTCCTGGGACAACCACTGGAAGGAAAGCCTTACATTTCCTACCATATTTGAGAGATTATGAATCTACACTTCCTGGTTTAGTGTTGGGTAAATACAGTTACAGTTCATACAGTTGGATAAATACAGTTACAGTTCATACAGTTGGATAAATACAGTTACAGTTCATACAGTTGGATAAATACAGTTACAGTTCATACAGTTGGATAAATAGTTACAGTTCATACAGTTGGATAAATACAGTTACAGTTCATACAGTTGGATAAATACAGTTACAGTTCATACAGTTGGATAAATACAGTTACAGTTCATACAGTTGGATAAATACAGTTACAGTTCATACAGTTGGATAAATACAGTTACAGTTCATACAGTTGGATAAATACAGTTACAGTTCATACAGTTGGATAAATACAGTTACAGTTCATACAGTTGGATAAATACAGTTCTATCAACCTCTGGAGTGGTGGATTAAAGCCACCACACCAGCTTAACAACCCAACAATAAGTGTACTTCAGTCCTGAACGTAGTCCAGGACTTCAGGTATTGTACTTGTCTTACCTAGGAGTCCTCCACTGGTCCTGTATCGTCTGAATGTATGTATGCACTTTTCCTCAATAAATTATTATTATTATTATTATTATTATTATTATTATTATTATTATTTATTATTATTATAAATTAATTTGTATTTCGATGTGAAGGTCTGAGAGAATCATTATTAAGAGTTATATTTCTATTTTCTATAAGAGGCCAACAACTGCCTCTAAGGCAGCAGTCGGCAACATATACACTTAACTGATTAGATAAAATATTACACCCATAATACCCCTGGGTACACATGAGAGCTGCTAAGTGCAATGTAGCCGATAACGTGCTCTCACTCTTCTCAGCAGCCCTTTCTCTCCACTTGCCACAACGTGAGAAATGTAACGTATTAGCCATACCACTAACACGTCGCATTTGTAACGTATTGGTCGATTTTATAAGGAATGGCGACGTATTTTGTTAAGAGGAATTGAACTACTGAAAATTTTGCAGGCACAATAACGTTGCTAAAGTATGATGACCAGACCACACGCTAGAATGTGAAGGGACGACGACGACGTTTCGGTCCGTCCTGGACCATTCTCAAGTCGATTGTCTTGACTTGAGAATGGTCCAGGACGGACCGAAACGTCGTCGTCCCTTCACATTCTAGTGTGTGGTCTGGTCATCACTGAAAATTTTAATGGGAACTGATAAATATCACATGGAAATGAAGTGACACAGAACAGTACAATAACTGAGAGAAGCTTTAATCTGTGATAGACTCTGTGGTATGTAAAGGTCTACATTTCTTCTCTTACTTGCAAGTTTTACAGCTTCGTCTGCAATGTCATTTCCTATTATTCCCACAAAGTAGGTGATGTTGCCCTCAAGGTCAGATGTTATCTTCACCGAGAGTGAAGCAGTTGTACAAGAGTATCAACAAAATATCAGCAGGCAGGATCTGCTGTTGCCGGTTGCCGGATCTGTTGATCAGTCCGGCAACCAGGAGGCTTGGTCGACGACCGGGCCGCGGGGACGCTAAGCCCCGGAAGCACCTCAAGGTAGGCAAGAGTCATCACTGTTGAGCTGACAGGAGCTGTCTCTCTCTCTCTGTCTCTCTCTCTCTCTCTCTCTCTCTCTCTCTCTCTCTCTCTCTCTCTCTCTCTCTCTCTCTCTCTCTCTCTCTCTCTCTCTCTCTCTCTCTCTCTCTCTCTCTCTCTCTCTCTCTCTCTCTCTCTCTCTCTCTCTCTCTCTCTCTCTCTCTCTCTCTCTCTCTCTCTCTCTCTCTCTCTCTCTCTCTCTCTCTCTCTCTCTCTCTCTCTCTCTCTCTCTCTCTCTCTCTCTCTCTCTCTCTCTCTCTCTCTCTCTCTCTCTCTCTCTCTCTCTCTCTCTCTCTCTCTCTCTCTCTCTCTCTCTCTCTCTCTCTCTCTCTCTCTCTCTCTCTCTCTCTCTGTCTCTCTCTCTGTGTCTCTCTTGGCCAGGAATCATAAAAGAATGTGTTGAAGATCATTGCAAGCAACCAGCAATGATCTCCAATTGCATGACTATCTTGAGGTTATCTTGAGATGATTTCGGGGCTTTAGTGTCCCCGCGGCCCGGTCCTCGACCAGGCCTCCACCCCCAGGAAGCAGCCCGTGACAGCTGACTAACACCCAGGTACCTATTTTACTGCTAGGTAACAGGGGCATAGGGTGAAAAAAAACTGTCCAATGTTTCTCGCCGGCGCCTGGGATCGAACCCAGGACCACAGGATCACAAGTCCAGCGTGCTGTCCGCTCAGCCGACCGGCTCTAGTAGAAACGGAGATGGTACCAAATAGCTGGAAGGAGGCACATTATGTCATACCAATATACAATAAATTCACAGATAGGAACCACTAAACTACAGACCAGGGGCCAGATTCACGAAGCAGTTACGCAAGCACTTGCGAACCTGTACATCTTTTCTCAATCTTTGGCGGCTTTGTTTCCAATTATTAAACAGTTAATGAGCTCCGAAGCACCAGGAGGCTGTTTATAACAATAACAACAGTTGATTGGTAAGTTTTCATGCTTGTAAACTGTTTAATAAATGTAACCAAAGCCGTCAAAGATTGAGGAAAGATGTACAGGTTCGTAAGTGCTTGCGTAACCGCTTCGTGAATCTGGCCCCACTGTCCCTTAATATATATAAATAAATAAATATATATATATATATATATATATATATATATATATATATATATATATATAGTAGTTCCTTCTTCACGTCCCTGTGACTCACCCCTGGGTGTGGTGCCTCACGTCTCTGTGACTCACCCCTGGGTGTGGTGCCTCACTTTCCTGTGACTCACCCCTGGGTGTGGTGCCTCACTTTCCTGTGACTCACCCCTGGGTGTGGTGCCTCACGCCTCTGTGACTCACCCCTGGGTGTGGTGCCTCACGTCTCTGTGACTCACCCCTGGGTGTGGTGCCTCACGTCCCTGTGACTCACCCCTGGGTGTGGTGCCTCACGTCTCTGTGACTCACCCCTGGGTGTGGTGCCTCACGTCCCTGTGACTCACCCCTGGGTGTGGTGCCTCACGTCCCTGTGACTCACCCCTGGGTGTGGTGCCTCACGTCCCTGTGACTCACCCCTGGGTGTGGTGCCTCACGTCTCTGTGACTCACCCCTGGGTGTGGTGCCTCACGTCTCTGTGACTCACCCCTGGGTGTGGTGCCTCACGTCTCTGTGACTCACCCCTGGGTGTGGTGCCTCACGTCCCTGTGACTCACCCCTGGGTGTGGTGCCTCACGTCCCTGTGACTCACCCCTGGGTGTGGTGCCTCACGTCTCTGTGACTCACCCCTGGGTGTGGTGCCTCACGTCTCTGTGACTCACCCCTGGGTGTGGTGCCTCACGTCTCTGTGACTCACCCCTGGGTGTGGTGCCTCACTTTCCTGTGACTCACCCCTGGGTTAACTCCCATGCTTGTTCACTCATTACGTTAGTGGTGAATCTAAACATGAGTAAGACATATCCTCACCTATTTGTATTTGCCAGGGATGACCTAGAGCTCTTGGGTCCCGCCTCTCGTCCATTAACATCATATATAGATGCTGTATATGTTGAAAGCATCCTCGGCTAGAGCCCTGAGGGCTATGGCTGCTCTGACGTTAGTTTCGCATATGCTGCTGATGGCATTGAGTTTGAGTGTTCCGTCCGTGATATATGAGGCAGATGTGACCGGCTCTGGAGTCGTGGATGCAGAGCTGGAGTGCACGATGATCCCGCAAGTTAGAAAGACAGGAACCCGTCTCAGAATTAGACTCATAACCCCACACGTCTGAAAAGAAAGTGACGACCTTTCGGTCCGTCCGGGACAGTTATGACGACCACACGACTCGGTAATGGTCCAGGATGGACCGAAACGTCGTCGCTTCCTTTCTTCTGACAGGTGTGTGTTGTGTGCCTGAGAGTTATGAAGGTGGGGACGAGGATAGGCTTATATTGACGAAAGACCTGGGTAAATACGGGTTTGCAAACACGACTGTAGATTTATGTTACAAAGGATCAGGTTACATAATACATGTGGGATCGCTGGATAGTTTCAAGCGTTGTTTAGACATATTTGAATGAGTTTGAGTGAATATAAATAGAAGCTGCCTCGTATGGACCAATAGGTTTTCAGAAGTTTCTGTTATTGTTAATTTAAGACTAGGTCTTGACTGAGCTGTGAGGCCAGAGCCAAACCCACACACAAATGAGCACAATAAGGGGGGAAACGAGCCGGAATTAAAGCGCACCTTGCCCCCCTTGAAGTAGGGGGGTTACCTTGATGGCGCGCGCCTGGTTGGTGCTGGCCGGCTCCACACTAGGCTTCCTGAGGCCTTCCCCGCCTCCCCGCCACACACACCACACACCCACTATTCCCCAACACGTTCTTCCCATTGCTGGAAAGGCGGTGGTGTGCCGTTGTGGGCTAAGATAAAGACAATATCACGCCGATAAACTATCATATCTTCCCCCTCTTTCCTTCTGCAGGACACCACTAGGGGCCCTTTGACACCACCTGCAGCATCTCCTGCCGCCCTCAGCGCCCGTCACCACCCACCCGTACCGTTGCCTAGTACGCCCTTCTTCACGCCCCTGCCTAAGACACCCGTTTGGAAATCTGGAATAGCGTCTTAGAGTGAGTTTGAGTGGGTGTATAATTGACTCGGTGGGATTATGAGATTAGCTCCCCCCCCCCCTCCACCCTCCCTGTGGTGTGTATGTCTGTCAGGCTTGATACCGTATCATATCTTGTGTTTATACGTATTATTCTACCCTTCTTATCTACCGTCTTATCAGGGGATACCGTCAGGGGATACCGTTAGGACTTGCGCTGGCTGCTACACTCTCCCTAAATCGTACACCTATTGCCCTACACAAGCCATCTACACCATTAGCACGACATTCCAGTCTTACACCTTCCTCCTACACTCACTCTAAACCCTTAACAATACACCTTTTTTATTATGACATTTAGGTACATCTTCATTTGTGCAGCTGCCCTAGACTATGTGAAGGGGAGTACAGAGTGTGTCAAGAACTAGCTGCCCTAGACTATGTGAAGGGGAGTACAGAGTGTGTCAAGAACTAGCTGCTAGACTATATGAAGGGGAGAGTACAGAGTGTGTCAAGAACTAGCTGCTAGACTATATGAAGGGGAGAGTACAGAGTGTGTCAAGAACTAGCTGCCCTAGACTATATGAAGGGGAGTACAGAGTGTGTCAAGAACTAGCTATGTGATGCTAAAAATCTCCATTACACAGGTTGGTTAGTCATACAGGGCCATGTGATCAGTAGCATGGATTGGCAAACTTTGGGGTGTATTATGAGGATATCAAGTTAGTTTAGTTTAGTTCATTTATCATGTACTCCATACCCATCGTGTGGGCGGTAGTGGCACATAATGGGCTCAAGGACTGAACCCCTAACATTTATTTATCCCCCAAAACACGAGAGTTAATAAAGTGATTACAAAGCTCCAGGTGCCGCATTAGTCAGATCTGAAGGTTCTAATGAGTAATGACTGGGCAATCATGTTGTTACTTTTATTAACACATTTAGGAGAGGTCCACCTGCCTTTATGCAGCAGGTGTATATACATACACCTAGAGTTACCCCTAGACTATGTGATGGAGAGGACAATCAGAAAAATCCGTGTTGTTATACTGGGGCTCCAATCTAACTGGAGCCCCAATCACTGGGGCTCCAATGTAACTGGAGCCCCAGTTTATACTGGGGCTCCAGTCTAGGCTCCAATCAGAGCTGTAGCCTGGTCTACATGGCGGCTCTACTTACATTAGTCGTGTGTCAACTCCTACAAGTCGTTACAGTTTATGGCTGGACTAAACAGGTGTACATCAGTGTACAATATCTTGGGGTTATCTTGAGATAATTTTGGGGCTTAGCGTTCCCGCGGCCCGGTCCTCGACCAGGCCTCCTTTCTGTTATACACCCCCCGGTAAGCAGCTCGTAGCAGCTGTCTAACTCCCAGGTACCTATTTACTGCTAGGTAACAGGGTGAAAGAACCATTTTTGCCCATTTGTCTCCGCCTCCACCGGGGATCGAACCCGGAACCTCAGGACTACGAAGCCGAAGCGCTGTCCACCCAGCTGTCAGGCGCCCTACAGCACAATACCTTGCTGACCAACCACCAAGTATACTTCAGTCCTCAACATTGTTCAGTACTATACTTCATGTAGGTTTACCCAGAGGGTGAAATACACTGCGAAAAGGACAGTAGCTCAAGCTACTTCCTCACAGAACTGTGGTCACCTCTGTGTATACACACCCGGGGAGTGGGGTCCACCTCTGTGTATACCCACCGGGGGAGTGGGGTCCACCTCTCTGTGTATACACACCGGGGGAGTGGGGTCCACCTCTCTGTGTATACACACCCGGGGAGTGGGGTCCACCTCTGTGTATACACACCGGGGGAGTGGGGTCCACCTCTCTGTGTATACACACCGGGGGAGTGGGGTCCACCTCTGTGTATACACACCGGGGGAGTGGGGTCCACCTCTGTGTATACACACCGGGGGAGTGGGGTCCACCTCTGTGTATACACACCGGGGGAGTGGGGTCCACCTCTGTGTATACACACCGGGGAGTGGGGTCCACCTTTGTGTATACACACCCGGGGAGTGGGGTCCACCTCTGTGTATACACACCCGGGGAGTGTGGTCCACCTCTCTGTGTATACACACCGGGGGAGTGGGGTCCACCTCTGTGTATACACACCGGGGGAGTGGGGTCCACCTCTGTGTATACACACCGAGGAGTGGGGTCCATCTCTGTGTATACTCACCGAGGAGTGGGGTCCACCTCTGTGTATACTCACCGAGGAGTGGGGTCCACCTCTGTGTATACTCACCGAGGAGTGGGGTCCACCTCTGTGTATACTCACCGGGGGAGTGGGGTCCACCTCTGTGTATACACACTAGGGGAGTGGGGTCCACCTCTGTGTATACACACCCGGGGAGTGGGGTCCACCTCTGTGTATACACACTAGGGGAGTGGGGTCCACCTCTGTGTATACACACCCGGGGAGTGGGGTCCACCTCTGTGTATACACACTAGGGGAGTGGGGTCCACCTCTGTGTATACACACCCGGGGAGTGGGGTCCACCTCTGTGTATACACACTAGGGGAGTGGGGTCCACCTATGTGTATACACACTAGGGGAGTGGGGTCCACCTCTGTGTATACACACCAGGGGAGTGGGGTCCACCTCTGTGTATACTCACCGGGGGAGTGGGGTCCACCTCTGTGTATACACACCAGGGGAGTGGGGTCCACCTCTGTGTATACACACTAGGGGAGTGGGGTCCACCTCTGTGTATACACACCAGGGGAGTGGGGTCCACCTCTGTGTATACACACCAGGGGAGTGGGGTCCACCTCTGTGTATACACACCAGGGGAGTGGGGTCCACCTCTGTGTATACACACTAGGGGAGTGGGGTCCACCTCTGTGTATACACACTAGGGGAGTGGGGTCCACCTCTGTGTATACACACCAGGGGAGTGGGGTCCACCTCTGTGTATACCCACCAGGGGAGTGGGGTCCACCTCTGTGTATACCCACCAGGGGAGTGGGGTCCACCTCTGTGTATACACACTAGGGGAGTGGGGTCCACCTCTGTGTATACACACCAGGGGAGTGGGGTCCACCTCTGTGTATACACACTAGGGGAGTGGGGTCCACCTCTGTGTATACCCACCAGGGGAGTGGGGTCCACCTCTGTGTATACACACTAGGGGAGTGGGGTCCACCTCTGTGTATACACACTAGGGGAGTGGGGTCCACCTCTGTGTATACCCACCAGGGGAGTGGGGTCCACCTCTGTGTATACACACTAGGGGAGTGGGGTCCACCTCTGTGTATACACACTAGGGGAGTGGGGTCCACCTCTGTGTATACCCACCAGGGGAGTGGGGTCCACCTCTGTGTATACACACTAGGGGAGTGGGGTCCACCTCTGTGTATACACACCAGGGGAGTGGGGTCCACCTCTGTGTATACACACCAGGGGAGTGGGGTCCACCTCTGTGTATACACACTAGGGGAGTGGGGTCCACCTCTGTGTATACCCACCAGGGGAGTGGGGTCCACCTCTGTGTATACACACCAGGGGAGTGGGGTCCACCTCTGTGTATACACACCAGGGGAGTGGGGTCCACCTCTGTGTATACCCACCAGGGGAGTGGGGTCCACCTCTGTGTATACCCACCAGGGGAGTGGGGTCCACCTCTGTGTATACACACTAGGGGAGTGGGGTCCACCTCTGTGTATACACACCAGGGGAGTGGGGTCCACCTCTGTGTATACACACTAGGGGAGTGGGGTCCACCTCTGTGTATACCCACCAGGGGAGTGGGGTCCACCTCTGTGTATACACACCAGGGGAGTGGGGTCCACCTCTGTGTATACCCACCAGGGGAGTGGGGTCCACCTCTGTGTATACCCACCAGGGGAGTGGGGTCCACCTCTGTGTATACCCACCAGGGGAGTGGGGTCCACCTCTGTGTATACCCACCAGGGGAGTGGGGTCCACCTCTGTGTATACCCACCAGGGGAGTGGGGTCCACCTCTGTGTATACCCACCAGGGGAGTGGGGTCCACCTCTGTGTATACACACTAGGGGAGTGGGGTCCACCTCTGTGTATACACACTAGGGGAGTGGGGTCCACCTCTCGCTCCATTCATCAATGAGTCCACTGTACAGACACCATGAGTGACTACTTAAAGATATATATAATTTTCGTATTCAAAGGTTTATTTAGGCTACGATAATAATATATTTATAATAAATAAAGATTCATGATTATATATGCATTATTATTATTAGTAGTAGTAGTAGTATTATCACTTTTAATAATAATAATAATAATAATAATAATAATAATAATAATAATAATAATAATAGATATTAATTTTATACAAAACACTTGTCAATGTTATTCAGTGTAGCGTGAGAATAGAAACAGCCGTTATTTATATGTCACAAGAAGGAATATGTATGCTAAGAGAAGTTCTCGGCTTATCTGTGTGTATACAGTATACTGTATTCTTGCCTGTATACGTATCCAGTATACTTGCTGGTCGGTCAATAAGGTTGTTGTTGAAGATTAAGCCGCCACAATTTGTGGCACGGGCCTGAGTAACCCCATAGGTGGTATAGATAGATGCTTGGAGTGAGTGTGGTCTATGGTGGTGTAGCCTCTTGAAGGGTCTCCGGATCTCTGGGGCCAGATTCACGAAGCGGTTACTCAAGTACTTACGAACGTGTACATCTTTCCTCAATCTCTCACGGCTTTGGTTACATTTATTAAACAGTTTACAAGCATGAAAACTTGCCAATCAACTGTTGTTATTGTTATAAACAGCCTCCTGGTGCTTCGGAGCTCATTAACTGTTTAATAATTGTAAACAAAGCCGCCAAAGATTGAGAAAAGATGTACAGGTTCGTAAGTGCTTGCGTGACTGTCACTAGACCGTAGCACTGTCTTGTCTATCTTAACCCGGGACAAACGTGATTACAAGAACGTTTGTGTGATTGGGATGAATCCCTGTATTAACGTGGGTGTAACCTCAACCAATCGAACCTAATCTTCCTTAACCTAGCGTAACCTAACCTAACTTAGCTGTGTTTGAGACATTTGTTTCTAGCAAACATCTTAATTATACCGTCTTGTCGATCATGATAGTAAATAACGTGAATAATTGTCGTTACCCAGCACAAGAACAGAGACCTTCATAGTCGCCATGTTGAATCCGCCGCCTTCACGAACGCATGAACAGGCGACAATTGTACAGTGATATGGTAGAGCGAAATACTTAAATAATAATAATAATATAAATAAGAAAAAATAAAAAGACAAGGAAGGAAATGGTTAATATTGTGTTAAAGTGAAAACATTCATATCAAGCTTAATAATGAGTGTCATAACTGGTCGGTGGGATTGGGCGTAGCAACTCGCGTTTTCTTTCTTGGGATCCGGATAAGAGAAAACGTTCATTGTCAAATCGTTCGTTGCTTGAATTAAGAGAAACCGTTAGTTGTCGGGTTATTCGTTGCTTAATTAAATTCGTTTAAGCCTCATTAACATCGCCTAACCAAGACACACCTAACCTAATAATGTAAATTTGTTTTGAAAATGAATGAAAGGAAAGTTCGCCGGAAGGAAATATTTGGCGCTAAGATAACCGACCGGTCTTCGTATACACTAATATTAAAACCAGTCTTCTCTTATAGCAACTGATCCAAAATTTAGGTAGATGTATACCCCGAGATGTGTAGTATATACTAGAGTTTTCTTTAGACCCAAGCTATGGACGAAGCTAGAGTAGACCTATATACACCTACTGGTTGGCTACTAGCTAGTGTTGGGGCCCTTAATAACACATTCGGCTTAGAAATACTATTTCAGATGTTCTAGAAATGCCATGTTATTTATTCAAACTTACATATGTGACTACTATGTAGGTAAGGGTATACATGTGATTGTTCTACTGTATTTATTTATTTATTTATTTATTTATTTATTTATTTATTTATTTATATACAAGAAAGGTACATTGGGTTTGTGAGGATACATAGCATAGTGATTACATTCTTGTAAAGCCACTAGTATGCGCAGCGTTTCGGGCAGGTCCTCAGTTCCTAGGTAGTGTACACATGACTGCTACTGTAGGTAGCATATACACATGACTGTAATCTTCCCAGTGTAATCACCCTCAATGGGAGAGTGTGTATGGTTGACAATTGCAAACTGTGCGTAAATGGTTCACTACAGATGTAAATGGCTTAGCTTAACTAACAATGACTTTCAATTCCAAACTCATTATATGGAGCTGGAGACTCGCTACCGCCTGCCAAAGGCTGGGTAAAAGGTTCATAAAAAAATCCTAAAAAAATCCTAAATCCTAAAAAAATCCTAAATCCTAAAAAAAATCCTAAAATTGGGCCTATAAGCCCAACACCAACCCAAACAGTCACTGTTACTGACACGAGTCATTTCTTTTAAAGAACCGGCGGCTAGAAAGGCGGGATCCAAGAGCCAACGTTCGATTCTGCATGCACAAATAGGTGAGTACACACATATACACACATGCAGGGGCCGGTGGCTGAGTGGACAGCACGCTGGTCACGTAATCCTGTGGTCCGGCGTTCGATTCCCGGTCCCGGCGAGAAACAATGGGCAGAGTTTCTTTCACGCTGATACCCCTGTTACCTAGCAGTAAATAGGTACCTGGGAGTTAGACAGCTGCTACGGGCTTCTTCTTGGGGGATGTGTGTGTGTGTGTTAGAGAGAAATATATGTAGTAGATATAATAGAGCAAAAATAGATTGGTTAGAAAGGCGGGGTCCAAGAGCTTATAGCTCGATTCTGCAGACATAAATAGTAAATACAAGCACACACACAGACAGCAACAAAAAAAGAGAACCCATTACAAACCTGTAGAAACCTGCAGCGTCTCCCCTAACACAGCCAATATCCCGTTTTCTTCCAAGTCTTTTCGGTGGGTGGGTAGGTCAGGGGGATGGGGGGAGGGGGGGAGAGGTGGCGATTGGACTATCAGAGGAAGAGGCGCAGGGAACTTGAACTATCAGACCACGACTATCGTTCTCACTCTCCATTCACAGCATTTATCGTATCTTTGTTTTACCCTGACCTTGATAAAGCAGGAATAAAAGAGCGGAGAGGATGTGCGCCAGTCAGTCTTCGGGGAGGGTTTTGTGTGGTGGTGAGCAGGACGGTGGCGCTGCTTGTATAATATGGACACCTAACTTGTACGATATGGACACCAAACTTGTACGATATGGACACCAAACTTGTACCATATGGACACCTAACTTGTACCATAATATCACCAAACTTGTACCATATGGACACCTAACTTGTATGATATGGATACCAAACTTGTACGATATGGACACCTAACTTGTACGATATGGATACCAAACTTGTACGATATGGACACCAAACTTGAACAATGTGGACACCAAGCTTGAACAGTATACATTGTTGTAAACAAAACCCCACAAGGGCCGTGATGAGGATTCGAACCTACGCACGGGATCTTCACGGAATGTTTGATATATTACGCTGTTGTGATCTCTGTGTGTACATTGTTGTATTTTTTCTATACTGTATATATTTTGGAAGAAGCCGATTGAAAAAGATGTCTTAATTTGCGATAATGGATTGTATTATGATGGTGATAAATTGGTTATATGGATTATTTTATGTATTAATTCATAAGAAATATTGTGATATTGGTTGTATTTTGCAGCCTGACGTTTTCATTGTTGCAGGGTATTGCAATAATGCAAATATTGACTATCGCTGGACGTTAATAAGTCATTATTTGACTTATATTGGGGATTTTATTAACTATTGGACCCTTACCTTAGGTTAGTTAACGTATTTTGGTTATATTGATTTGAGAAGTGTTTTTAATACTGTACGGAAGCGAATGAAGAGTGTCTTGGGTCATAGTACCGAGCAGTCAGGTAATAATTATCAGAAGAAAGTACTATGTCATTGTTGTTGTTTTAGATTCAGCTACTCTGAACAAAAAGTTCCAAGTAGCACGGGCTATGGTGAGCCCGCAGTGGACTGTACTATTGCAGCATGGCTATGTTATACTTATAAAGGATCGGAGGACTACAATCTGGGATGAGCACGAGGGAAAGAATGGAACGGATTGTCAAACGTCTAATATACGATGTATTATCGACCGGTATAGTTCATATTTTGTACACGGGCATCGTGTACAAAATATCTTCTCTTCGTTTTGATGATAGACTACTAAATATAGAATTAGATCCCAATAGCTTTGACACACTTGAGTATTAATTAATGTGATTAACAATATCATTTATTCCAAGTGTTTTCCAATCTCTAAAATAGAGTTAATGATTAAGTAAACACTCATTGTATATGTAGAAAAATATACCTCGATATACCATTACATAGCTACCATAATTTCTCAATTATCTTAAACCTAAAAAATCAATAAATGGGCGGCCTAGAGATTAATTTACCGTACTATTATTTTATTGACCCAATCATCAGTAAAAATACTACTGACAAAAAATAATAAAAAGGCATGAATTAGAAAAATCTAAAACTAAAATGCATTTAGATTAATTTTGTTGTTTTACAATGTAATTGTTACATGTGATGGTGATTGCAATTATAATTATTACTATTGCAATTAATGATGTTATTGGTTATCATTAGTTATTACGAAGTGCCTGGGTCTATTATCACGGTGATCTTGGTGAGTAATTAGTAGTGGAGTGATTAGTGGTGACTGGTAGTGGTGATGGTGATGACTGGTAGTGGTGATGGTGATGACTGGTAGTGGTGATGAAGGTAGTGATGACTGATAATGGTGATGGAGGTAGTGATGACTGATAGTGGTGATGGTGATGACTGGTAGTGGTGATGGTGATGATTGGTAGCGGTGATGGAGGGGATGATTGGTAGTGGTGATGGAGGGGATGATTGGTAGTGGTGATGGAGGGGATGATTGGTAGTGGTGATGGAGGGGATGATGACTGATAATGGTGATGGTGATGACTGGTAGTATTGATGATGAGTACTGTTTGAAGTGATGAAGATATTGAATAGGGTGATGCTGATAATGATGGTGTTGAAATCAGCGATATTATACAGCCTCATTCAACCTCAAGAACGAAAATAAATCATATAGCACCCACACATAAGATAAGATATATATATATATATATATATATATATATATATATATATATATATATATATATATATATATATATATATATATGTATATATATATATATATATATATATATATATATATATATATATATATATATATATATATATATATATATATATATATATATATATATATATATATATATATATATATATATATATATATATATATTTATATATATATTTATATATATATATATATAGTGACAGAGAGGCAGCTACCCCCTCAATCCTGCCCGTGGTGGCCTGGTTAGGCTCCGCCCTCGCCCCGCCTCTTGCACGGGATTGTGGGCGGAGCCAGTACACGCCCCGCCCACCGGAGGAGGAGCCGCAGCAGGACCCCTTGATCACTGATGCAGGATAAGAGGAATTGTAAAGATAACATCAGGTCTCATGGCGGTTCTATTGCGGGCGCGCTATCTCCAACGGCAACGTGGTTTGCCGTCGTTTGATTAGCCAGATGGAGAAGCAGTGTATGTTTGCTAACACTGTTGTTGTTCTTTGCATCCCCAGAGAAAGAGGCGTTATGGGTTCTCACAGCAGCAAATATCAACAGAACAAAGACTACATTAATAAAACTGTTATGGCAATAAACTATAACAGCTGTAGGTAGAAGAACAACCACGAATAACAACTATAGAGCAAACAACAGTAGCACAAGTAGCAGGAACAAGTGAATTAGCAAGGAAAACAGGGAATAAGATTAAGCCCCACAGGTAGAGAACCAAACCCGTTTGATGTGATAGCAGCATTGGAATCCATAACATGTGTTGTGACTAAAATTATAACGTCACACGTCTGGTAGCCCCCTTCCCCCACTGTATAAAACTAAATTATATTTCATATTTTGGTCAGGTTAGGTTAAGTAAGGTCAAGAGAGGTTAGACTGGGTTAAGTTAGGTAAAGTCAAGAGGTTAGGTTAGGCTGGGCTAAGCTAGGCTAGGTCAAGAGAGCTTAGGTTAGGCTATGTCAGGAGAGGTTAGGTTAGACTGGGTTAAGCTAGGCTAGGTCAAGAGAGCTTAGGTTAGGCTATGTCAGGAGAGGTTAGGTTAGACTGGGTTAAGCTAGGCTAGGTCAAGAGAGTTTAGGCTGGATTAAGTTAGGTTTGGTTGGGACCAGTGGGACTCATAGTCGACATTTTCAAAGAATATTTAATAAACTAATTGTACCAGTCCATCCACCAACAATGATATTACTCGTTGCAACTATTTACCCAAACGTACAAAAACAGACTGTTCGACTCCCTAAAACTTCACGTTTTGTATTATTAAATTAGCCTAAATAACATACTAAAACCGGAAAAAGTAAATAAAGAACCTAACCTAATCTGTACAAGCAATCCTAGGCCTTAGTACATATGAATGATATACTAGGCCTAGGGCTTTTTAAGTTATTTTATTTGTTTTTCCGTGGCCTCTACAAAATGAGAAGTATAAAATGTGTATAGTGTTGGTGGCAACAGTCACTTTTTGTACATGTGAGGGTAGAAATAACCTTAGCTGCTCTTTCATTTTGGGATGAATTTTATTATCTTAAAAAACTTAATTGAACTGTAAGTTGGTGTAAGTATTATCAAGTATTATCAGTTAAGTATTGCCAGTAATTATTATCAGTATTACCATTCAACAAATGGATTGAATATATGCACAAAATTTTAAGGCTGTAAACACACGAGGAAATAATTGATACTGATATATTTTTGAGGCAAGGCCTAGGGCAGGGACAGATGCTCTACGATGGGGTAAATGTAGGTAACAAAAAATAATGGGGTAATATATTTAATGGGTAGCGGGGATGGGGCGGGTAGATAAGGTGAGGGGAGGACTGAGTAAGACTATGAACCTGTGGCGCTGTGGTCTGCGCTGCCAGCACACAACCGCGTCCCCTGGGATAGGATCCTGGCAGTAACATATGAAAGAGAGAGACACGGTGGGACAGAGAGAGAGAGAGAGGCACCGGCAGAGGGAAGGGGGTTAGAGGCAAGAGAAAGAGGGGGGGTTGGTGGAAGGTAGCCAGGTTGTTATCTAGGGGGGGCGGTAGACCCCTCGTGCACGCCTAATGCACTCTATCACCACTATCTCGGCTACCTCCCCTCTTCCCCCCACTGCCTGAACCACACCTATCTTGACCCGTGCCTTAATCCACACACTGACAAAAGGGTAGAAGGGAACGGTGAGAAAGAGGGGGGGGGGGCTGTTATGCGTAGGGGAATTTATGGGAGAGTGGAAGAAGGTGTTGGTTGTGAAAAAGTGTGGTAAACAGTGTAGGAAAGTCTGGAGGCCCTTCTCAGGCAATGCTCGTCCATGCAGCGGTCGAC